GTATTAGCATTTCGGAAATAGATGAAATTTCAAGTATAATGTTAATTCGTACGAATAATACCGGCAATAATTGTAATAGATGCTCAAAATTTATTATTGTTTTCGTTACGGCAACTCGTATTCAGTGTTTTCTATTTTTTACCGGGGGTAAAAAAGGTTGGCACTTATGATATACCTACTGTACCCGGAGGTCGATAACCGATTTTTGACAATATACCTTTAATTTGTTTAAGTATTACGGTTAAAATTAGCATAAAAATGTTAATGAATAAATTAAATATAATTTTTTGCACATCATCATCACCATCACTAACCTTTTAATTTCCCCCACTACTGGGGCTGAGGCCTTCCCTATGGACGGCATCGTAAAATCGTACAATCGGCGCGCCGCATCTGCATCCAACGTAATCTCTATTCCAGGTAACCGTTGCAGATAGGACAAATCAAATATTAAATTATGAATTTTAATATCCGCTTATCATGAAGTTAAAAAAAAATGTGTGTTGATATAAATCTTGTAATACCTACCTCTCCATCAACATAATCAGCCGTGAGACGCACGCCGCTGAGCATAGGCTGTTAAACGATATTTTGGTACAATTAATGAAACATTTATTTTGAATACAAATTAAGTTACAAGACTCGAGGGTTTTACTTATTTTTTAACAGAGAAATATGCCGAAAATTATCTACTCGTATAACAGTATGCTTTCCCACGGTAACTTTACTCAGTAATCCCAGAGGATAAGTATAATGGATTCAAGTGTATAATGGATTACCTACCTGCAATACTTACTTTGAGTTACTAATAGCCAGCCATAATTTAGTAGCCCTATATCTAAAAATTTTTTCAAATATATCTAAGTGTACCCGGAAAACTTGTAGTCAGTAAGGAAAATCGGCAACTTATATTTTTTCGATTATATATTTTGGATATGTTCTCTCGATGCTCATCAATGCTAGATTAGTGTTATGAAGGCAACCCAGTACCAAATTATTGATATACATGTTATCTAACATAAAAACCCTCTCATTCTTAAGCAATTGTAATTAATCCTTACTTTGCCACCTCTGTTGTGGCTAAGTGGAATATTTTATCTATCATCATAGTCGCCCATTACTTCGGCACAGGCCTTATATGGTTGGGCTTTGGATGGATGGATGAATCGAATCGAATAGGGAGAATGGGCCACAACTTCCACGCGGGCACAGTGCGGGTTTGTGGGTGTTATCGGCTGCAGATGCAGCCGGGATTAACGGTTTAACGTGCTTTATGAAGCACCGAGGAGTTCAAGATAATAATTTTTTAATTATCCATCCCACTGCGAAAATTGCTTAACAGCCGTATCGCAGACCGAATGCGCTACCAACGCGCTATCGAGCTACTTAGGTCTAAGTACTGTGGCGACTTATGGCAACTTAGTCTAATGGTGGAGGTGGGTGGCGCAATGAAAAAACTGGTAACACTCCTTAGTCTTGATTTATTTCTGATAAGAATTACATTTAACCACTTATAATAATTATACTACGATGCTCACCCTAAGCTGGTCTCGATCAGAAAAAAAGACTATTTACCAGCAAAACACGAACACGCGAATTCGAATATAAAAAGTAATAATTTAAAATATTAACGGCCAGCACTTGACCATAAACCGTCCGAAGAGTAAACCCTACCTATAGTAATGTGCTCGGACGTTACATGCCCGGGCTCCCTAAAAAAAATTATTAGAGCGTGTGAAGACGCTCGAATAATTTTTACAGAAGTCTAAACCCTAAGTCCTACCTGCTTGAGGAACTTAGAGGAGGCGGTTTTTACTAATAAACTAGCTCCTGCAATGAAATTCCAATTTACTACATTATTGTTCAGACTTCTTAAGGAATTCTTCACATTGCAGAAACTCTACAAGTGCAAAACCTCAATAAAAGCACCTGTACGTCTCCCAAATGACTAAAATCATTAAAACCCTAAGTTTGATATTGGATGACGTTAAAACCCAAACACGACAAACTTTATTTTAAATACAGCTATCATATGATATTCCCGATTCCCGTAGCTAAAATCAAGCAAAATCGAATCAATTACAGTAAAATATCCGACCCAAAATAATAAACAAACGGATATGGCCAATGACAATGTGTATATCTTATAAGCATCCATGATAAATCATTGACACCCATGAGACAACAAACTGACATATGGAGCCTAAGGACGTCCAGCATCAAACAAGACGAAACCCAATTCCTATGGAACCAGATGGGTTCCCCGACCCTCGCAATGCCTATGTATAAACACTACGCGCGATACAATAATAATGACGACGCGCACATGAAGTGGGTGTCTGTCGACTTATCAACAGAGATGCTTCATGGTAGGCCCTCCGTATTCTGACGTCAGGATACGCGCCAGCTTCATCATGCTCTTACGGGAATCCGGCAGATGAAGTATGAACATGAAACAATTAAACAGTATTAACAAACATCCTTGGAAAATTTATAATAAATAAACAATTAAACAAATATTTCACATGACAATATATATTAAAACATATTGGATTAATATTATTATTCGAAATTAGCTCACTATCAACTAAACTTGAACAAGGAATCGAACCTGTCATAGTTCCTAATAAAAGAAAATAAATTAAAATTACAACTTCAATATTATCATTACATGACTTAGAAAACTTAAAAATTCATATTACTTTAAATATCTATCTCCTAACTTATAATAAGAAATAAGAATTATTATTATAATAATGAAAATACATTAACCTAATACCTACTTCCTCGAATTCTAAAAGGTTTATTTCTATGAGAATGAACTACCTTTATCCTATAACTTCCTATTCTTCCACCTAACCTTAATAAGGTCAGTCTTTTTCTTACGACAATTTAAGAAATATATCCTATATTTTCTATTATGAAAACTTTTCTGAAAAGAATACGAATTAAAAATATTTTGTCTATTACTCATTAAATAAAAATTGACATTTCTATCTCTAATGTCATGTGATGATTTCACATTTCGATCTAAATTGCTATTATAGAAAATTAATGTTTTTCTAAAGATCTTATGTTGTTCATGAATTTTTCTATGAAGAAAATTCTTATTATTTGTATTTTCTCTCTTTAAAGAAGACTTATTTTTTATAACAAAATTCTTAGTATTATTATTATTATTCTCCTTTGACTTAAGAGAAATATTGATATTAGGATTTTCTTTATTTGCTTTCACTACACGTGACTCATGCAAATATTTATCATTTTCTTTATAAGAATATAAAAAATTATTAGAGACATCGACAACATTATTATCTCTTATCAATTCAGACTTTGTCAAAAATTGACATACAACGTGTTTGACAAATAATTGATGCCTACTAAAATCTATGACAACATTATGAGAGAATAGAAAATCTTGTCCTATTATCATGTCTCGATCAATATTTTTAACAACATAAAAATCATGAATAAACAAGACATGTTCAATAATAATCTTCAAATTGACTTTACCGATTACTTCGAGATTCACATTATTCACTGCCCGAAGTGACATATCACATGGCACAATATCGTGACGGAGTTCATACGCGGCACGATCCGAAATGACCGAAAATGACGCACCAGTATCAACGAGCGAAATAAATTTTCTATCACGACACGACACTTTAATAAATGGTTGAAACTCACGTGCGTATATATTCTTTAAACGAGGCGACTGCTTGTCCTCTGCTATCACTTCTATCGCCTCTGCTGCTTTTGTGTGGCTTTCACTATTCTTCTTAATCATCATTGGCTGCGGCTTTGTATTATTTCTTGGTCTGAAATTATAATGGCGGGGCATCATCTGATCGGGAGGTGGGATTATATGAGGGGTGAAAGATGGAGAACTGAATGTTCTAGTGGGTCGAATCGACGTTGAAAGTCGTTGATCTCCTTGTCCGCCTTGTGTGCTAGAGGAAGGAAGAACATCTACAATATTCGTTAATTTTACAGGTAAATTGATATCCGCTTCTCCATCCCTTCTATTATAAATTTCTTTCAATTGTTTAATCACGTCCTTCAACTGTTGTTTATTCGAATACAACTGTGATCCTAAACGTCCCTTAGTTTGGAAATTTGCTGCTCCAAGAAAGTGCTGGATGAAGCATTTATCATCAATAACTGCCCCAGCTTTATAAGCTAAATAATCTAAAGAATAAAAGTAATTAAGTGGGTCTTCCGTTGCACCCTGTCTTCTTGCAAAAAAATTTGCGAGAGGATTTGCAGTTGAAGAGAACTCTTCGCTAATTTGTTTCTCGAGTTCCTGAAAATTCTCACAATTGTCTTTTATTTTATTATAAAATAACAGTGCAGGTCCCGCTAAATATGCCGCCAACACTATTTTTTTAGTCGGTTCTTGATATCCATTTGCTGCTGCTATAATATTAAATTGAGAAAAAAAATCAGCCACATCACCTTTTAATCCGTCGTATCTCTCCATTTTCGTTTTTTCGTTTATATGTTTTCTCCGCTTGGCTTACGAGAGGTATCGCTGTATTTCGAAACGTTGCGCCTCCACCATGTGGCGACTTATGGCAACTTAGTCTAATGGTGGAGGTGGGTGGCGCAATGAAAAAACTGGTAACACTCCTTAGTCTTGATTTATTTCTGATAAGAATTACATTTAACCACTTATAATAATTATACTACGATGCTCACCCTAAGCTGGTCTCGATCAGAAAAAAAGACTATTTACCAGCAAAACACGAACACGCGAATTCGAATATAAAAAGTAATAATTTAAAATATTAACGGCCAGCACTTGACCATAAACCGTCCGAAGAGTAAACCCTACCTATAGTAATGTGCTCGGACGTTACAGTACCTAAAATTGATTTTAAACTTGTGAAAAATAATAACTAATGCCTTTCTGAAATCAACAGTCACTAACTAACAGCAACAAATAGAAGTTAAATAAATACCCGATAATTGTATTAACCGTTTTCTTAACTCCACAGATGAGGACCTGGAAACATTACTGGACGAGGTGATCCGAGCGAGCAACCGTGGCGTGACAGCATCTAGGAACGTCAGCGGGGGTCCTAATTGGAGCTTTGGACAGTCGCTGTTCTTCTCGTCGACCGTCGTGACTACTATTGGTAAATAGGCATTTTATTTAATTTTGTTTTTTTGGCGAGCTTACATGATTAATCACAATATGATTACATCTATAATACTTATAAGCTAATTACGAATTTGTTGAAATTATTATTGTATAAGTAAAATAGACAAAATCTTATAACTGTATTCAGATATAACTATCCACTATAACATGTATTATATGTAGCTCGTACCACGTAACGCAGCCAAATGTAGACACTCGGTTTCTTAAAGCTCGGTACACGAGATGGGGCTGTATAATAACTCTCATATTAAATATGTGTATCCAGATATTTAAGATACGCGCGGGGCATTTCGATCTAAATGTAAACATAGCATTACTTACCACATATCTGGCTCCGAACTTGGTTTATATAAAATGGAAATCCAGAACATTAAGCAAAAAAGTAACAAAGGAATGAAAAAGAAGGAATATAATTGATCTTTTTGTTGCAGGATACGGTCACGTGACGCCACTGTCGAAACCCGGAAAACTGTTTTGTATGGTGTACGCTCTGCTCGGGATTCCCTTAACGCTGGTGCTTCTCTCCGCGCTAGTAGAGCGGCTGCTGCTACCGGCGACCGCTATGCTAAGAGCTCTCAACGCCTCGCTAGGGCACCTCTATAGGCCATTCACGATACGACTTGTGCATTTAATGATCATAGGTGAGCAAACTTGCAATGCACTGAAAACACAGTCTGTTTTGCACTGTAAAAATAAAGACTGCCGACTTGAATAGTAATTTTTGATTATGGAAAAACTGTAGTGTTATAAAGTGACAGTACGGTTCCAATTATTGTTCTTGTTTTACCAATTATTAATCAAAACATAAGCTTTCCTGTCCAGATCACTTTTTTATCTACAAAAAGTCTCTTATTTTTGTCTGCCTAAATTTGTCGAATAATAGATATATTTTCTATAATTATCCATGTATTTAAATGATATTTTCTCGTTTCTAAAACTAGTATTGTTACATACACATTCTATGTACAGAAGCTGTATACGAAAACATAAAATAAACGGAATTTTTATTTCGTTTCAGTGCTGGTACTGGTATTGTTCTTCCTGGTGGTGCCTGCGAGCATCTTCGCGGCTATCGAACCCGGTTGGGACTTTTTGGACTCGTTCTACTACTGTTTCATTTCGCTCACAACCATCGGCCTCGGGGACTACATACCCGGGGATGCTCCAGGTCAAACTTATCGGCCCCTCTACAAAGTTGCTACCACTTGTAAGTTAACGCATTTCTAATTTTTTGCTTAAACAATCGCAAAGTTTTTAAATTGGTACCTAAGTATTATGTATCACATGAAACGTTTGACTGAGGCATCAGTATATTTTGGAAAAGTGGTCATGCCAAAAATACTTTAAGTATACATGAAGTATACATGTGCATGATTCATTTTTAGAATTTTTGAAGGTATTTGAAGCAAAGCTGTTTTTTCTTTTATTCTATCGAGCCTTTTGTAAAAATAATAATATACTCGATAATATAAAATTATATCTAAACTAATTTTCCCCTTTCCAGTCTACCTGCTCATCGGCCTGACATTCCTGATGCTGACGCTGACCGTATTCTACGACATACCGCAATTGAACCTAAGCACCGTGTTCTCGTCCGTGAAACTGGACGAGGATCCGGAGAAGATGCGTCTAAGCGGTTCCGGCGCGCTGCCCGGGTACGGCCTGGGCGGGCTGGTGATGCGCGACGAGTACGCGCCGCACGACCAGCGCCGCTCCGTCGTGCACATCCGCCCGCACCTCGACGACAGCCCCAGCCCCGAGGACACCACGCCCGTGCACGCGCGCGACTTCAGGGTCCACTGAAGCCGCACCACCGACCCAGGCCAATAGCAGCCCGACCGACCGACTCATTAGCTGCGACTAGACATTAAAAAAGACAAAAGAACAAAAGGAAATTATATAGATCGCAATAGACACAGATAAAAAAAACTATTTTTTTTAATATTATTAATTACTTACTCAGAAAACGTTATTAGAACTGTTTGTAAAAAGCAACTCGCATATTTATAAATTTTCCTTAAAAAAATTATAAGTTCCGTTGTGAAAATTTTATAATTTTACGATTCAACTGCAGTAAAGCCTTAGAAATATAAATACCGATTTATAGTTTGTCATTTTTTGTATACGTGCTTTAAAATTAGCTAATTTCGAACCTTTTGAGTTTATTTGAATTTTCGAAATACCTTTTAATAAATAAATAATATCATTCTCATAGCTATAGTTTAGGTCGTAGCTAGAGTCTCAGGCGGTCGTAGGCCTGGAGCCTGATTTACGTTGCTCCAGTGTTTCGTTCCAGCGACTCTGTGTTCCAACTGGATGGGAACAGGTTTCGAATCGCGCTGTTATATTTGGTCGGATACTTGATCGTCCTCACTTATTAGTCGACGGACACGCGATAAGCACACGGCTCGTGGCAATATGAATTTGCACTTTAAGATGGTGGCTACGAGCACAGGGATAAGGATACTCGTAGGGTATTGAAGACTGGATTGAAAATTAGGACAAATTCTATTTCAATCGACATTCCACTGGATCGAATTGTATTGACATTTTATCCCGTGTCGCCGGATTGAAATTGTGGATCGATGTAAATCAGCAATATTACTCACAACAGTTTTGTCTCTTACAGAAATAATTCTTACTTGTATGAAACGAACGATGCTATAACATCAGACACTTATCGATGTAGGTATTTAGATGAATATGCCTTTTTTATAAAATAATGCAACAGTGGCATGAACTTTCTCTCCGCTCGTGTGTGGCCCCTATTATAAATTTATTATATTTGGACGGGTATTTGAATTCTAGAGCAGATTTGAATGCTTAACAATGCATGACAGGTGCTAATTATGCAAACAAAGGAATGGTTAACAAATGGATATTTTATTTAAAGAGGAAATTACAAAAAAAAAAAACTTACCTTATCTCACAATTTTGAAGAGGATGTTTTATTTATAAAATAATATTTATAACAATTTATATCGTAATACTGCACAAAATGACAATTATAATAATTTCCTTGATAAGTAAATTTTAAAATTTAATTTTACTACCACGCATATTACTATATTGTCTTCTTCTTCAAAAGCTTTGTGTAATTAAATTTCATTTATTTTATTTCAATTATACGGCAACCGTTCCTAATATTTTGAATCCACCTAGAATGTCCCGAGAGATCCGCTGGCATCACTAGTCGTACTGAGTTTGTAATAAGACTGACGAGGATTTTCAAATTTTCATACTTTTTTATTTTTTTTAATAGATTTTCTACGCTAACATCCAGCAAGGTAAAGGGGGTGGGACACGTTACAAAGTAACAAACTCAGACTGAAAACGTGTCCCATTTGTGTATACGTTTTACAAGCACTTAATTATAAGAATTTACTACAATTACCTATCGATGGAAATTGCATATCAGGTACGTAATTTTTCCTTTAGAGCACCACTTTAAGGTTGATACATTCTTAAAAAGTCGTCCCATTCTTCGGTAATCTCCTTGTTATTATCAAAGAAAAGACAAAGCAGTCTACAAATTCTATCGTAAATTAAATAATATAATAATCATGTGTACACGTATAAAATAAATAATAATAAATATTTGACGTACGTATCAATTATGTGTGATAGATGACCAATAATTTATTAGATTGTTTGGAATTATCAAGTAGGTTATTTATTAAAATTTTAAATGATTGATAATAATATCTTGAGTAGTAAAAAATTATGTATTCTGAAAATGCTTACAGATAAATTATTTACCTAACAGATTATAACCTAAATTAGAGAGCTATTTACATTTATCTGATGAAGGAAACAATGGTATTAAGATCTATATTATCTACTTGATTAGGTACTTATATTCTAATCAAGCTTGATGTAATAAAAAATAGATTCCTAAAAACACGTATAATATAAGTTTACTTATAGAAAACGGTATGTGTAAAATTAATGTATTATATACCTAACTATATTTATCTCAAAGTGTACCTATTATGTATGTGTTAGGCTATAAGATCGAGTGATTTATTTCCCCATTTTATGAAGTTAGACATTATAATAATTATAATTTATAAATGTATATACACTCATATGATTTTAATGATTTTTTTTCATGCTACATATGTATTTAAAAAGATGTTAGTGCTATTTCTTGATATGTAATTTAGTTTTGTATTATAAATAGCAATTTAGGAATTACGTAAACATTATGATAAAACCTTGTTTTATGCTTTAATAAAAAATTTAATGAAAATAATTTGATTGTGAATTTCTTCTTCTTTAAGCTTTAGAAGCTGTTTTATTCTATTCAGCTTAATAAAAATAAATACATTATCTACTACCTACTACGAATCCCTTGATAGAAATGAGCGCGTTGTATCTAAATTTGAACATGTGTACGTAAATATACATACTATTTTTTTTATAATTCCAATCAAAGTTCCGTATAAAAAAGGGAAATTAAAAAAAATAGAATTTAAGGGCTAATCTATATATTCGCTTAATGACTGGGACAAAAGACAAAACTCTCAAGGCTCCGCACGTACTCCATGAATTTATGTGTCCTGTAGTCCTGTCACTATGCCTGTGCATTCTTAAAAAAGTCACGACGACAGAATCATCTCTGATGTGCACCCCACCGACTATTTGTCTCCACATCACCCTTAGGTTAACTGGTAATAAATACCTACGGCATTAGGTTCACCATTGTACATTTGTGCAAGAATTATCAATAAATAAATATATCTAGGTTTGTAATAAAACCTTATTAATGTTAGAAAGAGATTTTGTATAAGTATTTATATGTATATTGATGAAAATGTAGGTGTGTATAAAAAGTATATAAGTAGATTTTCTTTTAATAATTTTAAAGTACTTGTTTCCCCCGGGATTCATTAATTTGTAAGCAAATTAAATTTTTGTCAAAATTTATGAGAGTGGATATTACCGTTCAGTCTCTTGAATCACGTGTCTCTCTCACTACGGGATGTTGGCAAAATTTCCGTGTATAACGGAACAAGTCCATAATGAAAAAAAAAAAAAAGGAGCTAAAGAAGACGACGACAGCACTGCAAAGAGAAAATGAATACCCTTTCGCTAGTCACAGAGGATGCGTTAAATTTTAGCAAACTCAATAAAAGGAAATATCCTTAGTGAAATTTATCTTACTAGATTCACTTTTTAAATATGTAGTTTCTCATCAAATAATACCTAAAAATAAATTATCAAGTCTATGTCGTTATTAATTAGTGTCAACAATATGGGGCAATTTATTTCTTTCCGGCTTCTAAGCTTTAAACCACAAAAAAACTAAAAGATTGTATCGAAAACAGAAAAAAAATATTGTCAATGAGTAAGCTGTATAGAATAGATCTCCTCGTTTACCTTGATTATAATAAACAATAATAGTCAATGAAAACTGTCAATGTCAATCTATCGAAAGAAAAAGATTCGCGCGGGAAACTTTGAAAAGTATAGGCGCCTTTTTTAAATTAATTGTTTCAATTAAATAAAACAACACGATTTTCATATTATATTTAATTAGACTAACATAAAAACATCTAATAATAAGCAGTATTCAATAGTTTTGCAAAAACCATGGGGAAGTCGGCGAAAAAGCGCAAGAAAAAAATTGAGGGTGAGGATGAGGAGGACACGGAAAGTTCTGATGCTAGTTCCATCATGGAGGTAGAGCAGGATAAGTATGTTACCTACCGCGTAAGTAACTATGTAAGACAGTATCCTGAAGACGGCTCGTATTTCGAGTATATTGTGTTCCTGGAGAGTGTCGAACCTGATATGCCGCTCGGGACCAGGGACATGATGATCCTTGCAAACTTACTTAAAAAACATAATAAAGGTATTAAACAACTGAAAAGAATTAACAAATACAAGATTGGTGTCATTTTTGAAAGGCCAGGGCTTGCTAATGCAGCTTTAAACAATAGTAGCTTTTTAAAAGCAAACAAACTTAAAGCTAGTATCCCAGCTGCCGCAACTGAAGTCACAGGAGTTATAATGCATGTACCAACTGAGTTATCTAATGCACAAATTTACTCTGCTCTTACTTCTACTAAAAATATTATAAGTATCAGACGTTTTATGAGAAAAACTAATACCAATGGACATATGTTATTGCAGCCAACAAAGACAGTATCAATTACTTTTTCCTGTCCAACTTTACCTGACAGCGTGGACCTGAACAGCTGGAGATTCGAAGTAAGGCCATATATACCCCCAGTCAAACAATGTCTTAAATGTTTAAGGTATGGACATATTGCTAAATTTTGTAAAAACTCGACTCGATGTTCTATATGCAGTGAATCTCATAATTATAAAGAATGTCATAAGTCCTCTAAAGATGCTATCTGTGGTAACTGTAAAGGAAATCATATAGCTATCTCAATAGAATGCCCAATTAAAAAACAAAAAATAGAAGAAAACAGAAATAAATTTCAGACTAGAACATATGCAAATGTTGCTACAACTATTAATGAAAAGTCTTTCCCTCCCCTAATTAAAGATATAATCACTCAATCTGATTTCAGCAATATATTGAATTCTGATGTTATCCTTAACATTTTAGTAGAATCACTTATAAAATTGATAAGCTTTAATAAAAGCAATGACAAATCTATTAGTACCCAAAACATAAAAGAAGTACTTATTGAAACAATGAAAAATAAAAAGATTTAGTTTGTACCCCTTATGGATACTTTGAATGTTGTACAATGGAATGCCCAGAGTTTATTTAGTCATAGACATCTTTTATCTCACTTCTTACATGGAAATCAAGTACACATAGCCATTATTTGTGAAACCTGGCTTAAACCTACACAATACATTACATTTAAAAATTATAGTATTATCAGACTTGATTGTGGTAATGATCACAATGGTGTAGCTATACTTATTCATAATACCTTAAAGTTTAAAAACATATCTTCTTATTATGATAACTCCCTCCAAAACCTTGTTATACGTCTTCAGTATGCAATTGACAAAGAAATTACGATTGTTAGTTTTTATAGTCCTCTTAATAGTAACCCGCCATTAACAAAAAATAAATTAGAAAATTTGTTCAAATCACTTCCACATCCTGCTTTTATTGCGGGCGATTTCAATGCCCTACACACGACTTGGGGATGTGATCAGTGTAATTCTCGTGGCAATGATTTAATTAGCTGTATCCAGGATAATAATTTTGTTTTATTGAACGATGGTCAGTATACCACAGTTGGTTCGCATGTTTGGCGTCGCAATGCTCTTGATTTAACCATAGTATCTCCAAGTTTGGCTTTACAATGTGAATGGAGTGTTCATGATGACCCTTTGGGTAGTTTTCATTTACCTGTAATAACAAAAATCAATATCAGTTATAGTCAACCAAATGTATTAAATCCACCTAATACACCTTATCAACAGAACTATCGCAAGATAAACTGGGAAAAGTATATTAGTAATGTAGAGATGCTTTTAAATGATTTTGAAATAAATGATAATGATCCATCAGGAACATATGCAAATCTTAGCCGACTGTTACTGTTAGCAGTCGATCAATCCATGCCCATGAAAAATCAACTACACACATCACCGACAAGTTCTCATAAGCCACGTAAGTTAAGAATACCTCTTCCATGGTGGAATGATAAATGCTCTTCTGCAGTAGAAAGTTCAAAAAAAGCTTACATTCAATTTAAAAATGACCCTTCAGAAAACAATTATATAGAATTTAAGAAACAGCAAGCTCTCAAAAAATTAATTATTAAAAAAGAAAGACAATCCAGTTGGACAAGATTATGTGAAAGCTTTAATAGAACCACACCACTTTCAAGAATATGGACTATTATGAAAAGGTTTAATAAGACCCCTGTGTCACCCCCTAGTCATATTGATAATTGGGTTCCTAATTTTTTGGAGAAATACACACCTGATACTGTAGAAGCACCTTTACAATTTAACCACAGATCTAGTGTTCTCAATAATTTGAATTACTTGACTGCACCTTTTTCATTACAAGAATTTGCAACTGCTATATTATCCAGGCATGACACTGCTTTTGGACTTGATGGTATTCCTTACAAAATTCTGAAAAAAATGACAGACTGTTCTAAAAAAATTGTATTGAAAGTGTATAATTTACTGTGGGCATCCAACACAATTCCACCTGAGTGGAAAATTGATTGTTTGATACCTGCCTTAAAGCCTAATAAAGATAAGTTTCAAGTAGATTCTTACAGACCTATTGCCCTCACATCTTGTATGGCCAAAATATTTGAACAACTAATCAAACAAAGGCTGGAATACTACATAGAAAGCAATGGTATATTGCCCGCTAATCAGTTTGGTTTCCGTAGGGGCCGATCAGCTAGAGAAAGCATATCACATTTAAATTTTGATATCTTTAATGCCATTAAGAACAAACAAGTTTTGATTAGTGTATTTTTTGATATTTCCTGTGCTTTTAATAGTGTAAATCATCATGTACTTGCAAATGAGTTACTGACCATCGGACTGCCAGAAAAAATTGTTAAATGGATATTTGATTTCTCACATAGCAGACAAGTTTTTGTAAAATATAATAATAAATTATTTGGGCCTAGATTTTCACATAAGGGAGTAGCTCAAGGGGGAATTTTAAGTCCTCTTATTTTTATATTGTATATTAGAAAATTGAATTTAATATTAGGACCACAAGTGAGTAATTTGCAATTTGCAGATGACTTAGTAGTATATATGTCAGGTTCAGATGTAAAATCAGTTATTATAAATATAAATAGTGCCTTAGATCTGTTACATAATTATTTTCATCACCTTGGACTAGATATTAATGTTAGTAAATCTAAAGTTGTAGTATTCAACAAAATAAGACCATTTCATGTAGATATTTACTATAATCAAACTAAGCTCCCTATAGTGAATAAAGCCAAATTTTTAGGTATAATTTTTACATCTAATTTGTCTTGGAATACTTATGTTAATGAAGTTATTTCTAAGGCTTCCAGGGCCTACAACATTCTAAGATGTCTGGCAGGAACACACTGGGGTTCTGATCCAAAAATACTTTTAATTCTTTATAAATCCTTAGTACGTAGCCATTTTGAGTATGGATTTATGTGTTTTGGGTCTAATAGGAGATTAGTTGAAAAAATAGACATTTTACAGAATCGTAATTTGAGATTAGTGTTAGGAGCCATGAAAACCACTCCTATTAATTCATTACAAATAGAATGCAATATTCCACCTTTACAGATAAGGTTTAACTATTTGAAACATAAATTTCTTCTAAAATTGTTATGCATTAAGCATAATGCTTTGATAAAGAAACTTATTACCTTTCATAACACATTTCCTTATTCCTCAACCTCTACAGTTCCATTTATTCTTCACGACTTTTCATTTATATTAGAAATGAGTACATATAACATATTTAGAAATGATTACCACTGGGTTTGTTATGACCATGAGTACTGGAGTAAATTTACAAATATGCACATCATAATAGATAGAAAATTGCAACATAAAAGTGAGGTTTATAATATATTGACTCAATACCCAGCTTATAGATCTATATATACTGATGGTTCCAAGAACGACACAAGTACAGCATGGGCAATCTACATACCTTACATCAATTGTGGCAGAGGAAGAAAGCTTCCTTCAGAAATGAGTGTGTTTACAGCAGAGTGTTACGCAATTTACATTGCACTAAAATATATATCTAAAGAACAGTATTTTCGCTGGCTTATAGTATCAGACAGCATGAGTGTTCTAGAAAGCTTGGGAAATAACAAATTATCTGCCGATACAAACTATCTAATACATGAAATAAAACACTTATGGTTGCAGTTAACTCAACAAGGTTTTGAAACGATTTTTATCTGGACACCATCTCACATCGGCGTTAAAGGAAACGAAAACGCAGATTATTTAGCGAGAACTACCGCTATCAGTGACAGCGGCAGCCCTGATAACGATGTTGCCATCCCATTTACTGATATTATTCCTATTCTAAAAAATAAGTTATTGCAGCAATGGAATATAGACTGGCATATTACTCTATCAAGAAAAGGTACATGGTACGCTGAAATCAATAGTTCAATTGGAAAAAAGCCCTGGTTTGTAAATTACACAGCAAGAAGCAGAACATTTTTCACTACTATTTCAAGACTTAGATTGGGACATGCTCGGTTTAATGCTCACCTCCATCGTATGCATATTATTGACTCCCCAACTTGTAATCAATGCAATATCGCTGATCAGACTTTGGATCATATTATCTTTGATTGTCCGTCGTTCAACATACAACGCCTTGCTCTAGCAGATCAACTTTTGCAAATGTATAAGAATCCGGAAAATGTCCCGCGCTCTACACAAGAACTTCTGAAGAAAACTGATACATATTCAGCATTATATACATACATATCCTCAACCCTCAAAGATATTTAACTTAAGACTTGGCGTTAGCCTGCACCTAAAAGAAAATCAAAAGACTTAAAATATGACGTGGCTGTATGGATAAAAGTCCTTTGCCTCAATCTATCGAAAAAGATGACAATGTCAAATTATTTTCTGAAGCCGGCCGATCGAATAAACTTAATTTGGTTTTTCCACTTTGGCTTAAAATATTAATTAATTATCGACAAAATATTCCAATCATATAAATCATGTCAAACAACGTAAATCCATTAGCGGGCACAGCTCATCTATTAGATGAATTGGACAGTACGTTTATGCAACAAACGCATTATTGAAAATTGTTTCATGTTTACATATTTTTATCAAAGTTGTTGTTGTTTCATAAAGAGAAACTTATGGTGCTGCTACGAGATGGAAGAACCTTAATTGGATATTTGCGCTGCGTCGATCAATTCGCAAATTTAGTATTACACAAGACTATTGAACGGATTCACGTCGGTAAGGAATACGGAGACATTCCAAGAGGAATTTTCATTGTAAGAGGCGAAAATGTTGTTCTTTTAGGGGAAATCGTGAGTAGCACATCCTCTGTACTGGTAGCTATTTCGATTAAATTACATTGTATGCCTTGAGACACACATAGGTGTCTTTTCACTAATTATAAATCTCTATATTGTTTTCTAAATCTCTATTTTATTTCATTAAAACAGGATAAAGATAAGGAGGACAACTTACCATTAACAGAAGTGTCAGTCGATGATATACTGGATGCTCAAAGAAGAGAACAAGATGCTAAAATAGAACAACAAAAATTACTCTCTAAAGCATTGAAAGAAAGAGGTCTAAATTTATTAGCTGACTTAGGACATGATGACATGTTTTAAATCTGTTATCATCCTTACTTAGTGGTTTTTGAAGCAAATATCATTCCAAGTTATCAAATGGAAATAGAACAAGATTAATATGCATAAAAAATATGTTAAATTGGTCAAGATAAAAGTCTTAATAATGGAAGTTTTATTATTTATTAAAGTCTGATTGCCTAGTTAAAGATATATTTGCCAATAATTTACAATAAATGGGAATATGTTAAATTAAGTTACATAGAGAATGTTCAAACAATTTTATTTGGACAGGCCCTAGATGTATGTCTCATAAATTATGTGTGACTAGCTGATTCCAGTGACCTTCATGCTGCCCTAAAATTAATAAAATATAACCCAGCCTTTTTCAAGTAAATTATTATTTAGTATACAACTTTTAAACCTTTAGCGAAGTTGAGAAAAAATACAATGCCAATAAATGTATTTTTCTTGATATGATGGTTGCATATAATTTGTTGCAGTTATTTATAGATGTGGCTTGTGTGAGATAATCCTGCTCTGACATGAATTTATGTAAAAAAAATGTATTTAAATATATTTATTATTATTGTACTTTTAGTGTTTACCAATGTTCAATTGTTTGGCAGTCCTAAGTTCAACCTTTTGCGGTCTTATGATGGTGAAATTTTATAGATAATTAGACATAACAAAAGAGTACTACATCATTCACCCCGACATTTAAAGAGCAAGCCGGACTGGTGGATGCCGAGAGCTCTTTAAACGCCTTAGTTGGACTCCCATGGTTGCGGCTCCTTCTTCTTCTCTTTTCTCTTCTTCATCAGAAGAAAAGTCATCTCTACTTGATGGCAGTGGAGCTAGATGCCTATTGGACATCGTACCTTCTCTCGGTATGATGAATATCAGATATAAGAGTAGTTAGGGGTACTTTGTAAAAGAATGCCTTTCTTCAGTAACAGGTTCAAATTTTGATTTATATTTATTAAAAGAAACGTTCGTAACGTTTCGTTTAATAAGTATCGGTCCCGGCGTCATAAACCAGGCCGGCAATGATGTTCCGTTAAGAATTCTCCGTGAATGACAAAACATCCTTCCATGTGGTGTGGTATTGATAGCGGTACATAGGAGAGAACGAATAGAGTGTAGGGCTATAGGTAAGACTTTCCCAATCAGACATATACAAGCGTTGTGATCTAAGACGAAGTTGATTAGCTCTCCACAAAGTCCCGTTTTAGCGCTCGACTTGTCCATTCTCTTGGGGATTATATGGAGTGGTCTTACTAGAAGCTATTCCAAGGGATGTAAGATATTGAATAAGTTCTTGTTAAATAAAAGAGCTTCCCTGTTCATTGGAGTACTAAAAGGACAAACAATATCATTCACACTTTTAATAACAGATTGGGAAGTTGTACTCGTATCATTACAAGCGAATGCGAACGGGAAATCAGGGATGTTAGACGGCCACTTAGAAATCCTTGTGCCGAGCTGGCTGAAAGCTTGTATTCGAGGGGGGAAACTAGTACGCCTGTGCTTCGCTCTGGCGCACAGGGCGTACAAAAAAAAAATCCCGTGCAGGAATCGAACCCGGGGCCCCGTGAACGTAAGCGCAACGCGTTACCATTACGCTATCTAACATATTGAGAACTGCTAATCGAGACAGCTTGATATAATAAAGTTTTATGACAATATGGAAATCTGATTGGAATGTTTTTTTACATGCATCTCTGAAATTTGTCGATTATTCTATGTTGTCAGTGTATTTTTATCAGTCAACGGCCAATCTTGGTATTTTTGCATACAATGACTGAATTGTCTTGGTACATGGTATGTGACACTAAAAACTAGTAAGTATACCAAGAAGTTGGTACGTCTGACATCATTGAGGGAAATGGCTGTATTCGTCAATTATTATCAAAATGTACTTGTTTTGTACTATAATTTAAGTGAGGAAGTACCTATTTAAAAAAACGAAAGCACTTGAAAAAGCATCTCCACTAGAGTCTGGCAAGCGAAACGTGTCACAAGAAAAGGGCGGCAATTTCAAAAATTCTTAAGCAGTAAACACTGAATGTAGTACTGCAAAATAATTTTGATACTTTTATTAATTATATTTAATCTTAACATTTAGATATCAATTAAAATTATTTGTTTTGGAACATTTGACTAAAGCGTGACTGTTCTTAATTGTACAGTTAACAGCATATCAGTAGGCCTATTCACTAACTCAACTGACAACCAAGAATCGTCATCACCGTAAAAAATAGACACTTTGATTGTGTCAAAATCACTATTTCGTATTCTCTATCAATGATGAGCAATTTCGAAATGTCAATATCGGCATTCTCCACTGGACTCCATTTTGACACTTGATTTCGTATCGATAAACTGTATTAAAGTAACATTGTTGCAAAGCATATTTGAAGTCGTCGCATAGTACCTCTTAAGCCATTTGTTGTTAAATTAAAGCGAAAAAAAATACGTATCCAATATTTTTCTATTATCTGACTGACGGACTAAATCGAATCTTTTTTTTAACCCATTCGTTATACCTATTGGCTAACAGCACTTATAATATTAAAAATTCATATTTGTCATTAATTAAAAGGGTGTTTTTTGCAACGACTTCTTTGTTTTTTTGTAATGAATATGGGCGACTCTGGCCACATTTTTTTAATAAATGTGATGTTAGCCAATTTTGATTTCTGGCCCTTATATTTATAATGTGTTCATAACACATACATGTCTCCTAAGGGATTTTCATCACAACCTTTTGCTCTGATCCAGAACCACTATCTATCAAATTAAATTAGTCAATATAAACACCAGATTACAATAAAAAAAACATTTATTTTTGTTACAATTAAGTGCCATGGATAAATTACATAATACAGGTGTCACAAAATCATCATGTTAATCACAATAGAAAATTTAAGATAAGATTTTGACTATGAATCAGACTAAAAATACTTTAGTCTGATTCATAGTCAAAATCTGTTTCTAAATATTCTACACCTGATAACAATGACAAGGAATCATCAGAGTCACTCTCTTCACTACTGTCTGCACCAACAGATATAATAAATTTTTCAAGTTCGTTTTCAACAATGCCATCTTTTAATTTGTAATCATTTTCGACATTTAAAACATGATCAGTGTATTTCTTCCAGTCACTAGGGGTAATTAAGTCAAAACACTCTATTATTAAGTTTTCCATTTCCTTTCCTGGTATTCCAATGTTTCTGCTTGCAATTTTTCTTTTTGCTTGACTCCAAACCATCTCTATTGGGTTTAAGTCACAATGATACGGTGGCAGCAATAAAAGTTCATGATTATGTTCTTTTAAAATCTCTTCAGCTTCATATACAGGCAATGTTTTCTTATCATTAACCAAACACATTAACTCTGCCTTTGTCTGATATTCCTCAAAATGTATTCCATTATTTACAAGCCATTTACGGATATCTGCTTTGGTATTAGACATTATAGGCGGTTTATTGATTTGTTTTATATGGTAGCTGGCATTATCCATAACAATTACACTGGGCTTACTTAAATTTGGTATTAATTTTTCTCTGACCCATTTCATAAAGTTCGATGAGTTCATATCATCATGATAATCAGCAGATTTGGATTTACTACTGAACACTAATAATGCACCAGGCACAAAACCTTCCTCAGATCCAGCATGCACAACAATATGCCGTTTTCCAGAGGATATCTTTGTAGTGACACCAGTTGTTGAAGGTCCTTGCCAAGACTTTTTAACTTTATAATTCTGATGTACATAAGTTTCATCAAGGTACACAATTTGCTTTCCTTCGTTTCGTTTTATATTTATTTCTCTCAAATACTTGTGCCTCCATGCAGAAATCTGGTATTTTTCTATAAGCATAGAACGTTCATTTTCATTGCTTTTAAAAGAAAATCCATTCTTAAGCATAATTTTTCGTAAAGTCTCACGGCTACCACTGAATCCTATTGCATCTTTTAATTCATTGTGAAGGCTTCTTAATGTTGGAACAATTTTTTTCACACAGTAAAATTCATTTACTTTATTCCGAACTGCACTTAAATCAAAATTATCTAAAGCAGACACTGTTGGTTGATGAGGTCGTTTTTTCCCAGGAGTGTCCCATTTTCCTTTATTAATTAATGCTTCATTTTTTATCCTTCTTAGTGTCCTTATACTTACATCTATAAAAGATTAAACACTTTGAAACAAAGATATGTTAAATGTATTTAAAAGCAAATAATGATAGACACATACATCAAAATAATTTAAATACCTATTCAACTATGAATGCAATTTATGTTTAATTTAGTTAAGTTTATGTGCATATTTAGCATGTATAACAATTACATGGTTTGATTAGTTTCATGAATTCTGTGAATTTCCTTGTTAAACAAAACATTCTTATGACATCATTGGATGTCAACAATAAAAACCAATACATCATAAAAAACCTATGTAAATATTATAGGAATACTATCAATCTATCTTAAATCAAAACAAGAAAAGAGACCTGTCATTGAAGAAATTTTTTGTAAGTACTGCGTTTCCGAATTCAGCATTTCTTGTTTTTCTAAAGTTTTTATTGCATTTATCTCCTCCATTATTGGTTGAATATCACCATCACAGTTATCTGAAATAGAGCAATATTTTATAAAAAATATCTGTTTAGTTAATTACAGAAAATTAAAACGAAAGTATCAAAATTATAATACAAAACTAACCTAAAAAAGATACAACTTTATCTAATCGTTGTAATTTCTCCATGAAATTTTTATTTAATTCAGTTTTCACTTCAGTAAACTTGTCAATCATGATGGAAAGAAGTTTCCTCGATGAACTTTTTATCGGCTTCGACATAATTTTTAACCAAAAACACAAGTTCAAATTCGCAAAAACAACAAAATTCAATATTCTTGAATTGTCTAACGTAGTGTCAAACTGACAGTTCTATGTTGTTGCCATATGAAAACGGAAAAATAGGTGGTGTCACGTTTCGCTTGCCAAACTCTAGATGGCGACTCTAGCAAAAGTTGATTTTTGCAGGAAACGAATGGACCAGAGACAGTCATTTCCGTTCCTTTTAACTAACATATTAAAAAACTGAAATTTGAAAAATTCGAAACTTACATATCAACACAAATACGAAAATGTACAAATAGAATATGAATTGTTTATTGAATTTTGAAAACTAATTTACTTTTAAACATGATAGAAAACCGGAAGGGTTGTCATGGAGAAATCAAGAACGTGCCGTAGCGACATCTAGTTTGATTTCGGGAACTAATTTTTTTTTTTAAATACTTCCTCATTATAAAATTATGAAGCCGTAGACAGAGAAGGTAATGTCTCTAAAGCGTTGAAAAAGCTACATTATGAACGCTACAGTTACTTAGTTATGAATCTGAAATTATTGATCTTTAAAAACAGGAAAAAAAGATATTGAATAAGATTTTTAAAAACCCTATTTAAAGCTATCAATTAAGATTGATTTGAATTGGTATTTCTTCAATAATCTTACATCAATTGTATTTATTTTGACATACATATTGCTTTTATTCAGGAACTTTTGAACGTATCCACTATTATTCTATACTAAATGCCATCCCTTATTCGCGTTTTCTTTATTCGCGGCATATTTAAGGAACGTAATCCTCCGCGAATAAGGAGCTTCTACTGTATTATCTATGATCCAAGTGGTCATTATAACAACAGTGAAGGCCAACGCACGTATAAGCGCAGTGCGCACGCCAGTGAACACTTAATCTCGTCCAAGCGTACCGTATCGGAGTGTTACCATATATAAGATTACGCACAATGAGGAAGTATTTAAAAAAAACGAAAGCACTATAAAAGCACCTCCACTAGATGGCGACTCTAGCAAAAGTTGATTTTTGCAGGAAACGAATGGACCAGAGACAGTAATTTCCGTTCCTTTTAACTAACATTTTAAAAAACTGAAATTTGAAAAGTTCGAAACTTAGATATTCATACAAATACGAAAAAGTACAAATAGAATATGAGTTGTTAACTGAGTTTTGAAAACTAATTTACTTTTAAATATGAAAGAAAACCGGAAAGGTTGTCATGGAGAAATTAAGAACGTGCCGTAGCAACATCTAGTTTGATTTCGGGAACTTTTGTTTTTTTTAAATAGGTACTTCCTCATTATTTTAAAATATATATGTCATGTCCTGTAATATTTTCGAAACGAAAGTTACGATCAATCTTCAAAGCCAAGGTTACCTTCATTTGAAGGCTAGGTTGAGAACCAATGTGGATGGACATGCTTCCAATCAATGTGTGTTAATGACTTTTAAGTCTGGAAACACCATAACACCAATAAAGTCCATTCAGGAAAGTCTGGAAGCACCATAACACCAACAAAGGTAAATAAAATATTTAAAATATTTTTTGCAATAAAACTCGATTTAATAATACCTATTTAATTGATATTTCACCTCGAGATTTCACTAGGACCATAGACTTTCATTACTGAATACCATAGACTATACAATTTTATTTTTAAATTATCTGAACGCTGTCAGTATTAAAGTGGAATAGTGATATATTCCATACCGGTTGTTAGAGAGAGAGGCTTTAAAGTTTAGTAAAATCCGCCATTGCTTGCGTCTTGCTTCATTTCGTCGTTGGATTTGATTGGAGGGAAGTTGTAGAGGGTGGCGCATGCGCGTTCTGCCGACGCCATCTCTGTAACTACTTGTCCTAATATTACTGTTCGTAAAGGGATATGAATCTTATTTTGTAGTTTTGTGTGAATAAGTCATGGGATTACTTTGTCGTTTGAAAAGTGAAGTGTGTGTTTTAAAGTGAGATCATTGATGTTGTGCAAAGCCTGTTGATATTTTGCGGAAGTTTCTTGGCCTACAGCATCGCATATTTTTTGTGGCTATATCTGCCGCGGCCGCTTTATAGTTATTTGATGGACTTTTGACGTCGAAGCATAGTGGTAACTTTCCTTCACTGTGTTTTATAGGGCTTCAACATTACTAAAGACGCAATCATAAGCGACAGGGCCTAGTCGACCCCGCGTTCTAACGCTCGATGCCTACCTATACTATACATACATTATGTATGAATTATTGTTATGGGTCAAAGACATCTCTCTGTGTTAACGTACTTTTATAACCAAAACAGTATTTAAATGTGCTGAATTTGTATTTTTCAGTTATTGTACCTGAGCTTGGGTCGCATAAGACGTATCCGAGATGAACTCTGCCTTGAAGCCGGTGCTGCCTCAGCCAGGACCACAACCAGGGGGTCAGGCGAGTCCGGCCAAAGCTAACATAGCTAACATCAATCACGCCGTGGGTCTCCCGCAGGGTGCTCAAAATTCTCTTCACCATGGTACTAACAACCTGGTCGGCCAAAACTTGACGCATCACGTTCCTGCGCCTCAGGTAGCGCCTCACGCAGTGCCATCCATGGCTCCAATTTCAGCCAACATGGCACAAATGGCGCAAAACATGAGTCACCATGGCAACCTTTCTCATGTTACACAGAATTCAGTCACACCCACCAACGTCGCCGCAAGCCCAAGCAAGAGCGCCAGTACCAGTGCACCACTCAGCTTAGTCAGCCAGGATAAAGCTAACAGTTCACAGCCCCTCGCGCTTACAAGGACCCCCGAAAAGAAAGAACCTGATTCTAGTAGCCAAGCCAATGGTACAATAGATTCACCAAAATCGGCATCTAATGCTCCTGCAACTCTGAAACCCCAGAATCCAGAACCTAATAAGGAGAAGCAAGATATCGCCAAGACATCACCAAGCACTCCAAAGCCTCCTGAAAAGCCTAGCAGTGCTCCAGAAACTCCTCAAAAACCTGAGGCAGCCAATCCTCCAGAATCTCCAGACAGTCAAGCTCAACCTAAAGTTGCTACTGCAAATGAACCAACTGAGAAGTCTATTAAGCCAGCAGAGCCAAAACCTACTCCAACTGCAGATGTAGCACCTACACAGAGTGATAGTAAACCATTGCCAGAATCTGCTAACAATAGTCAATTACAGGAAGATGCCTCAACACCTGCGAAAGAGGAAGCTCCAGCAGCAGAAAGTGCTAAAACTGAGAGCCCCATAAAAGTTGAGGAGAAGAAAGAAGTTAAAGAAGAGAAGGCACAAGTGATACAAGAAAAGAAAGAGGAACCACAAATTGCTAAGAAAGAAGAATTGGTTGAAAAGCAGCAGAAAGTTGAAGAAAAGGTTGAGGAAAAGAAGTCTGATGTGAAAACTACTAAAGCTGAAGTGAAGGCTTCTCCAAAACCAACAATGAAATTAGCAACAGTGACCCCACCGATGAGAAAGAGAAGGCGTACATCTCTCAGCAAGAGTACAGAAGGGCTCAATTCTGCTAAGAAACCTGCAGAAGGCGAATCTACACCTGACATGAGAACAAAGAGGAACAGAACTCAGGTGTGTATTAGAAAATGTTATTTGTTTATTAGCATTTAATCAATAATTATGTCTAAACTACCAAAGAATTATTTTTAAAATCCATGGGGGGATTTTATAATTACAAAAAAAATATGGTATTCTACATAGATTTGAAATCCTTACTCAATATTATAAATGTTTAAATAATTGTCTGGCTGTTGCTTTTCCTAAACCTAAACCACAGAATGATTAAAATTTTTTATATTTATAAAACAACATTATAATTATAAAACAAAATTCATCTTTGAAAGTTTCACTATATACAAGTTTGTTAAAATTTCAAACAAATTATATCAATCAGCCATTACCACTGTTTAAGAATTTTCTTCACTGAAGCATTATCTTGATGCCATTAAGTATCAATTGCTACTATCTGTATCTACAAAAAGCTTAAAAGATATCTCATCAAATATGCAGAAACTTACATCTATTATATTTACAAAACAAAAAGATAATGGATGTTAATAATATGTGTTTTTTTTTTCAGGTGCAACTTTACCAGTCTCCGACACCAGAAATAACGATGGCTACTAAACTTAGCGCTTCTGCAGGTCGGTCCACCCCTACCAAGCCAAATGATGACAAGCTTATTGTTTTCTACAAGTAAGTTAAACATTCGTTTTCTCTTATGATATTGTAGCCTAAATTTTTAACAATATCCCATAAAGGAGCCATAAGCAATTACAGGTTTAATATATTAGTGGGCATACACTAGCATTTCCTTAGCATATGTACGCCTCTATAAAAGCCAACTTGTCACTTACAAGACAGCATAGCAGAGTTTAGCAAAAACTTCTCTCAAGAACAATCACCATGTCTAAACTGTCATGTTCTCATTATTATTGGCATGGTCAGGGCCATCCTGTCAATGTAGGACAGTATGGCATAACAAACAGATTGTTTTCTCATTATTTGAATCTTAAAAAATAACTTTTGTCCTTAAAAGTGAGTCTATATTTACGGTATTTTAAAATAAAAAAGTTCAGACCAGTTTAACTAAGGACTTTTTTGTTATTTGCAAAATGTCTGTTATGCCTAGGGCGCCAAATATCATTGTTGCGGCGTTAGATACGGTCGGCAAAATAGACAATAAATTATGGCAAGTATGCCTCTAGTTGTAATTGCATATTAAAAACTTTTTAAGAATAGTAACCAAAAATTAAATTAGGAACAAAGATAGACCAGTTGACGATGGTGATGTTGGGTAGCATATCCCTCGAAATACCATTCACAAGATGTGATTTACTATAGTCCAGTGATCTTCACACTTTTCCGACCAAAGTCTACAATAGGGTAATGTGTCCATTATATGTGTATAGTTATTTATATTTTTTTCTTTATATCTAAGTGCTAGGAGTGGTTGCCGACCTTTGTAATTAACACCACTTTTAACTCACAAATGGTTATACCGATTATGATGATCTCTGATATATTGGATTCATCTATGACCCAAATAGCTGGATAATTGTTAAAATATGTATAGAATAAGATATAAAATAAGGTAAAAAGTAGGTACACACTTAAACATTTTTCACCGCTATTTGCCGACCGCGGCTATAGTTTACGGCCTACGGCAGCCAAAAAATAACGGATATAGACACAAGTATTACGTGTGGGTCAAAAAAAATGTTATATGTCGCTCTATCCATATCGTGTAGTATAGTGACTTGTTATAGGGTTGAGGTCAGTGATCTTTAGTGTCCAGTAAATAAAACGCGGTCCTACTCGGAAGCGATACCGAAGTATATGGATAGCGATTATTTAAACATTTTGTGAATGCAAAATTATTTTAGTATAGATCTTGTTGATTCCTTTATTAGAAATCTGTGTAGGAACAATCATAACTTTGGATTCTTTTATTATATGCATTATCTTAAAAAGCTTATATCTATAACCAGACTTCATTTAAGTATAACCTGGAATTCAGAGTAACTTCAATAATTGTATCTAGACAACAATAACCTAATATTGTCTAGACAAGACACAATTTTATATACTCAAAAAAAAATTAATTTGTCCTAGGAATGAGTATTTGGCAGTACGGAACGCTGAGGGTGGATTTTACGTGTGCCAAGCGGTTCAAAACGTTTACCGCAACACACGTAAGATTAAAATTCGTTGGCTCTCACAAGATAAAGCAGACCCTTCAGGAGAGACCTACAAGCCGGATTTCTATGATGTCACTGGTATGTTAACTTGATTAATATAATTATAAAGTTTATATGTTTCGATATATTTAGTTTACTTATAGCTATATACCACGTAACTGTGAACAATCTACACTATAATAGATCTTCAACTCAACATGATCAAAACTCTACGACTCATCAATCGAAAACCAATACAGTTGCCATTAAAATTCATTTGTATGCTATCATGATATCATATCTGTTTAAACATATTTTTCAATGCAGTTGCTCATAAAGCGCTATTATTTTAATCCATTGTAAACACCGAAAGTGAGTCTTTAAACACGTGTTAAATAAAAATGTACTGAAATCCTTTACTGCACACATGCTTAAAAGTATTTTTTTTGGTAGAGCACCAAAGCAATTACAAAAAATTGATGAAAATATGTAAAACTTTAGAGGAAAAAGTATTTCAAAGAGCCTAGAACGAATATTTTCAAATAAAAATGTATGACACGAAAATATGTTCAAAAATCACGTTTAATTTTAACAAATAATTTTTACCTTTAATATATACTTAGTTTTATTAACCTATATATTTGTTTTATTTCCTCGCAAAAAGCATTGAAAATGTTGTAAGAAACTTGAGCGTAAAATGTTTTTCGAATTTGTGTCAAATCAATTTGGCCCTTATTCGTAAATCCTTACTTTCCGCACTCGTATCTTAAATAACTATTTTTACATTTAACCGAGATATTTATGACATGATAATTAAATGTTACTAAAGAATATTAACTTTAAATAAATATATGAACTTTAATTAATAAAAAATGAATAAATAAATAGAAAATTAGAAGTAGTATTTGGCAGAGTTAATATGAAATTGTTTGTGGGCAACACTTATATATCAAAGCCTGTTTTTTTAATTTATGGACTAATTACGTTTACGTTATTCCGCAAATATCACGTTGTTGGCATTTACATGTAAAGAGACAATAATTTTAAGGAATTAAAATAAATTATCTCCAAACTTAAAGCATGTCTTTCTAATATCTATAGGAATGTTCAATATTTTAAAAATCTCTGCTAATACCAAAGAGCAAAGTTCCTATTATATGCTAACATTCCAATAAAGTTTTAGTTAGAGAGAATTTAAACATGTTTTTTATTTTTATGAAAATTTTGAAGGTGCAATATTTCTTTATAGTTTAATTAAAAATAATCTCATCTAATAAGAGTAAGCTGATCAATGAGTTAGGAAAACAGATTACAGAAAGACGTGTTCTGTGGTTTGCTAAACTCCTTGGTGAGCCCTTTGATTAAAATTAAAAGGGAAGATACGGCATAGGCGCTTGTTAATGGAAACTACAAAAAGGTGCATATAGAAAATAGTTCAAAAATAAAAAACAAAACGTCATGGCATCACACTTCCCTCGTAGATTAAAGATTAAAACACATATTTATTTCAAAATCAACTATTTGCTAGGTATCTAGTTCGCCATTTTCAAGAAAGGAAAAGAGTATATACCTTATGTATATATGTGCGAGAGATTGCTACGCGTATGTGTGTTACGATTTCAAGTTTCTGTCTCGCTCATGCTAATGTCGAAATTCATTGCTATCCCTCTCGATTATTAATACTTATACAATTAGCTTACTAATCAGTGTTTTCAACAAATCCATCATGACATTAGACACAATATTAGATTGGACATTTCAGGAAGTGGAAATTTTGGTAATTAAACATTCTAAACTGAAAGATTTCAGACAATATTATAATAAAATATAATCAAAGTCCTTCTGTTATTTTAGTAATTAACAGAAACGACACATACATTTTAACATGTGCGCTTATAAAAAATACGTAAATTAAATATTCATAAACAACTAACTATGATATCCCACACCAGATATGGAATGTGTGCTGACAACTCTATCGCTGCAACGTGCATCTGGCGGTGCTCAAGTACTGAAGCCAGCGGAACAAGCTCGAGCCAAGTCCATACTGGACCGAGCGCTGGAAGCGGAACAGAGTGGTGGCAAGATCGAGCTCACCGAGGAACATCCAGATGGACGTGAGTGTTCTCTGTACCTCAGAAACATACTAGGCCGACTGGTCGCTATACCATAGTGATACCAAATAGCACAATACATTATTAAATTAATCTTAATTTGGAATACTGATGATGTCGTTTTAAACTTATGACATTTTTAACAGACGTTTGTGCAACTAGGTCTTAAAACATTTCATTTTCTATTTCAATTCACAATAAAATGTATGGAATAAACAATGTAGAGTTAGTTTACTGTTCTCTGCTAATGACCGTTATTTTTATCAGTATTCAGTTATGAAATATATTTAATGACTGAATATTGATAAAAATAGTGGCGTTTAGACAATTGTGTAAATGACCGGTATCCATCCTTTCGTCGTCAACATCCCTCCGGTAAGAACGGCACGATTCGATTCGTCATTAATAATACGTACCGCCAAGGACTGGAATAAATCGCCAGCGTCTGTATTTCCGTCCGATTATAATGTGAATGTCTTCAAATCAAGAGTGAATAGGCTGTTACTTGGTTAATGCGCTATACCACCCAAGGCTTCATCACCACTAACCATCAGGTGGGATCGTAGTCAAGCGTTAACCTATAAAGTATATAAAAAATAATATTTAATATACGAATGTATCCGGACAGTGGACCTCTCGCTGTACACAGACGAGTCACAATTAGAGAAGAAGTCGCGCAAACGTAACAGCTCTAAGTCATCGCCGCGCGGCAAATCGGACAACGCTACCGAGACTGCGGTGAGTAAAATCGTTCATTATACAATGATAAGAGACATCATTGGGTTTTCATTTATTCAGTTTTGGGTGCAATAAAAATTAAATTATTGTTAAATTATGCTTTTAAAGTATGGTAACTGAACACTGTGATCTGACCGTTATTTAGCGGAGTGGTTCGCACGCCGGTTTCAACGTGTCTCTCTGAGGTCCCGGGTAAGATTCCCGGTCGGGTCAATGTAGAAAATGAACTTTTCTATATTGACTCGGGTCTGGGTGTTGTGGTACCTTCGTTGTCTCAGATACTCCATATTTTTATATTTCCAACAATTATACATAAATTATAACAACTTTATATCGTTATTCATTAGATTATATCATTAAACAGATTTTTTAATGTTTATTTGTATATTTTCTGAGATAGAATAAGAATCTTAATATATCATTTGTTATATCTGCCCGATTTCAATACCATTTTCTTGAATAATTTAATGTTATTAAAGACAGTATACTTACTTTATTATATACTTTATTTTAGTCTACTGTCTGTTTTTAAATAATAAGTAAATATAAAAAAAAAACTTCACAGAAAGAAGAAGCTACACCCGCGAAAAAATCGCGGACTACGCCAAAGCGCAGTCCAAAGAGCGATCGCAAAACAAAACCGTCGCCGCAGAAACAACAAACAAACAATAAACGAAAACCGGCAGGTAGTACGCCCACTGTGGCGGCCACAAGCAAGGTAGGCATAGTACAACGGATATATAGAAATGTACGTATCCGCAATCATCGCCATTTACATTCATGACCAAGTGTGAGTAAGGTGTGTGTGTACGTGTGGTTGTTATGTGCTGTGACACTCTCTCTGTCCCGCTCGCATGCGGCTTGGATGTGCGCGTGCGAAGGGGACAGCGTTACGCCCGTACCGGTTGTATACCACAGACTAATTAGATACTGCTAACGGGCGAGCACAGCTTGTTTGGTTTAATTTTCTAATTTTTTTTTTCAAGGTGTAAGAATGAATGTTTGAAAGATGGTTTCTGAATTATTATGTTTTTTTTTAATATTTTTTGTTTAATGATTATCGATGTGCATGCCTATTGTTATGTACATTGAAAATTGTAAAAGTTCCAGTGTAATCTTCGACTTTATTTTGATTGGGTCAAGGTATTATTATTATTTTTTATTATTATTCACGGCCATATTAATTTGAAGTTCATCGAAATAAATAATACTATAGGAGCTAAGTATAAATAATATTTTTTTTGGTGAAAGGGAAGCATGTTATGTCGCCATGCATGTTTCCTTTATAGAATTTTACATAGTTGCATGAATGATCTATTATTGATCTGAATATATGATACACAGTATGGCAATAAAATATTAATTTAATGCATTATTAAGATTCATCTCTGTATAAATTGCGAATTGTCTACTTAAGAATTACTAAGTAAAGAGCAATTTAAGTTCTACTTTATTGATTGCAATTGTTTATTTGTGTTCTTTATAAAATTTCTTAATAGTATTATGGCCTTATCATAAAATTATTACCATAATATTTGAATTATCTAGAGTAGACTAGACTTGGACAATACACTCGGGCAGGTCATACATTCAACTTATTTTCCTATAGGAGGACACTAAAAAATTCACAAGTCTAAAGTATTTCTCATGTTAAAATGAGAACAACATACGTAATTAAAATGCCGACAACTTAAGCATCAAATACATGATTTTGATAATGATGCGAAAATACTATAAATAAAACTCGATGATTTGTTCACACATTTCTCTTGAACTTCTATAAATAAACACTATCTCTACTTAAGAACAACGTACATCGACTTTAAATATATTGGATATAAATAGACAACTTTTCTAGTTTGCCTACTGTGTTTTACTTTGATAGCCGATTCTAAACTATTTACTGGATAATACAGGTCAACGAAAAACAAGTATTTTTTGGAGTCTGATATTTACATCGAAAAGTAAACAGGAGCGCTATTAATAATAAATAAAGTTTGCTTTTGTACTTATAGGATGAAAACTAAATGTATGGTGTTTTGGTAGATTTTTTGAAGGGCCGTTGCTTTTTTGACGCAAGAGACCCCTCTCTCGGTTTTGGTCTGAAGCAAGAGGTGGAAGGGTCACGACGCGTAACTCCTTTTTTAAAGGAATAACGTATTTTGTGCCACAAGAACTAAAAATGTCATCCCAACTTTTTTCTTGCTGTATTGTTGAGCCTGATCAGGTCTTAATGCCTCCACTGCACATAAAATTGGCTCTCATTTGCAGCTTGTAAAGACTTCAAGACTCTGAGGCCTTTTCAGTTTTTAAAACTTTTTCCAGAAATGTTCAGAGTTCAAAATTAAACCTGGTCATTTCGTTGGTACGCGAATAAAGACTAATGGCGAGTGAAAAATTTCTACAGTTCCTGGGTAACCATGAAAAATAAGCGTGCTCACCCTTCAAGCAGTCATCCTTGGCTTCCTTGACAAGAAAAAAGCTTTGCTTGACAGCTTCAAAGTCATGGGTTGCAGAATATCACTTAAAGTGCACATGATTTATGCGAACTTAGATAAATTCAAAGGCAACTTGGGTGGATATTCAGAAAAGCAGGAGATACGCTTCCACCAGGATTTAATGAACTTTGAACAACGGTATCAAGGAAAATATATCGAGAACCCGATTGGGGGAATTATATTTGATTATTCATACGTGAAGTTGAGTCTTTAAAAACTTTTGTGTTTATTTATGCCGCCTTTTATAATTAATATAACACACAATTTAAAAACTATAATTTAAATAGAAAAATAGAACTCCATTCTGGAAGCTACAAAAGCAAACTTTATTAGATAAAGATATTTTTACTTTCTTTAGTTAGCCATAAGTAAACAAAATCAGAGGTGCTGAACTCGGACTCAAAATTTATGTAGACCTGTGTTATATAAAATAATTAAAATTTCTATCTCTATCTTTTAATAATACTATCATTATCATTCATTATCATTGCTTGCTTTTTGTGTTAATTTATTATATAATTTTTTTATTCTTAAAGTTTTATTTAATATTTTTATTAACTTTATTTCTTCGATTATTTTACACAGTTAACAATGCATGATCCTGTTGCATGGAGATAAATTGTTTAAATTTTACTACAATCTGTTTTAAACTCTGATTAAAAGAGTGTCTATATGTTAATTTAGTGAGATCTTAAAGTTTTTACTGTTCTTATTATATAAATCCAATTATACTACTCGTTCGAATTAACGTGACATCTGAGGGCCTATTCTATTATTCGAAATTAAAATTTCCTCTATTTCCGAATATGCTAATAAGACTTTCTAAAATAGACGCATTTAACGCTATTATGATGCAATTTAGGTAGGATTTGCCTCAGATGCAAAGATAATCTTCACAGATTGTGATTTCAACAAAATTATAAGAGCGATCCGAAATTTTTCAAATTTAAGTTCGAGGACAAATAGAATAGGCCTTCGTTATCATGTTAATTCTTACATATTACACAGAATTGTTTGGACTGTATATTCAAATATAAATAATTTTAATATGAATAACATGAACATTCTGTAAATAATCTTTTCTCAACGTTTCTATTTAAGTGACCCTCTAAATAAATAATGATCAAAAAAAGACTCAGCCCTACCGTAAAATCTAGCCTTTTTTTTTAATAAGTGGGGAATGTTAAGGGATCTTTCATAGAGCCTTCTGGACCTAACCCCAAACTAGTCAAACCAAAACTTAGATGTGACCGTAAAGTTGAGAAATGATTTTATAGATGTATTTGTTTGATATAATAAATGTATAATATAAAATTTGTATATTACATGTTTTGAAAGTACCTATTGGAGCTTAGCTAGGAAAAACCCTTGTTCAATTAGGTGGTTTGAATTCAGTCTAGTAGGTACAGTAAAGTCCAAGTGATGTTATTCACAGGTGTGAATTTAAAGAATGTTGATTTGATTTGATTAGCCCAATGCGGATTGGTGGGTGTTCACAACTTCAGATACAGACAGCACGGAGTAGTTGGAGATAATTTTTTTTTGGTCACCCATCCTACTACTGGCCCTTGCGAAAGTTGCTTAACGACGGTTTCGCAGATTGAACGCGCTAACTACTGCACCTCCACGTTTCATGTTATTGATATTGAGATAGACTTATTATAAATTTTAATGTCATCGCCAGAATTAGTAGATCTGCTCAGTGCAAACGAAGGTATACGATGTATTGGATCTTGCTGTACCAGAGTCGGTTGTTTATTTAAGTAGTTTTCCATGTTAAAGGTATATTCTTGAAAAGATATCTCATATGAACTTGAACAAATTTCAGAACATGTATTCGACATATTAACACTAAATGACGAATTACTGACAAGCAATTTCGTATCTCTCTTTCAGAACTTTAAGGTTTAAATTTGCTTTGTTTGATGAATTCTATGAACAGCTGACTACCACCAGTTCTGCTTTTAAATAAATATAACTGACTGTTCTGCAAATGGAGATTCGATTTGCTAATTGCAAGTATTATTCCTAGTAACGTAACACAGTTTATGATAACTTAAGACTGTGTCCACAGACGGCAACGGCGGTGAGTGAAAAGCCTAAAGCTAAGTCTACACCAGTTAAACGGACACCCGCTAAGACTAAGCAGGAAACTCCAATCGCCACGCCAACGCGCAAAGGGAGAAGGGCTGTTAAAGGTATTTATTTGTTACTAACTTTCCGCCCGCGGCTTTGTCCGTGTGGAAATGCAATTTTTGACGATAAAAACTATCCCATGTCTATGTGCCTATGTCTAAAGACATACGTACATATGTCTAAGTCCCAAGGTCTATGTGTTTACCAAATTTGATTAAAATTGGTTCAGTAGTTTAGGCGTGATAGCGTAACAAACACACTGACAGTTACTTTCGCATTTTAATATTAGTATAGATTATCATCATAAGTAAATGTCCCCACAGATAAGGCACAGGCCTTTTATAACGATAGAATCATTTAGGAAGAACGACCAAAATCTATCACGTAGGCCCAATATGGATCACTGGATGCTAACAACTATAGATAAGCTAGATTATATGCATTAAAAACGGGACATCTTATTATATTTAAATGGGATCCCGTTGTTGTACTGTTTTTTTTTTTATTGTTTTGGTACGGAATCCTTTGTGTGAGATTTCAACTGGCACTCTGCCGGTTTTTTTTTGCAGATTAATTTATTATATGGTTATATAAATCAGGTGAGCGCAATCTTTATAAAATAACATACTTTTATTAAATTAAATGAATCAAATGTGTAACGCGAACAATAAAGATTTTTTTATTGTAAGGTTACTTAAAAAAAGTTTATATTATCCAAAGGACTAAGGTTATAATAGAAATAATTTTATGTTTTGGTTAAATATTCTTAATTTTTCACACAATTTTCTTTATTTTGTTCTTTTATAAGAACCTTTTCCTGACAATAACAAACACAACAAAAAAAGAATAAGAGAAATCGGACCAGCCGTTCACGTGTGATGGCGTGACAAAGGGAAATAGGTATTTATCTATATACAGAGTTATGGGTAATTAGACAGGATCCTTTCAAGGGCTCGTAGGGGAGGTAATTTTTTTTTTCACCTCGCATTATACAATTTATTACAAAAATGGTATCTGAAAGTGAACCACTTTTGTGATAAATTGTATTTTTCTTTCTTTCAAAGAGTCAAAAAAAAATTATGTTAAGAATCTAATTTTGTTGACAGTTTTAGAGGGATAACATTCCAATTCGTGTTAAATAATAATGAAACCCCAAATAATCTTGACCCAAACAAAAACTACAGAATTTAAATTAAAAAAAAAGTTTTCTTGTTGTTGTAAATTTGCAAACAAAAGTGCATTTTAAACAAAAAATAACTTTCAGATATACAATGTGGGGTGAAAATAATTATAAATGACCTCCCCTATCACCCCTTAAAAGGATCCGGTCTAATTACCCATAACCCTGTATATATATATAACGTTGTTGTTACAGAAAACAAACCGTCTCCAGTAGTGGCGACGCCGTCCACGTCGACGGGCAAGACCACGCGCACGCCGAGGAAACCGCCAGCGAAGAAATAATACACGGACACCACTTAGTGCATGGACACATTATATTTATTATGACGGCGTTCAACTAACGCGTACCATCTGAACATTTAAATGAAAGTGCACCAGGTATATATTATGAATTAAGTACATTATAGTCATACTGATAGCACAAAATTCATATTGAGAGATAAGTTTCTGAAATCGGTTGTATTTAACCAGGCCCGGATTTAGAGGGGGAGTTAAATATGGTATAGAAAATGTGCGGGGTTTTCATGTTTCTGCCCCGTTAGAAAAAGTTTTAGATCCGGGCCTGTATTTAACAATTTTTTTTCCTCACTTCGATGTGGCGATGAAGAGTAAGTACTCTGTGGAAATAAGAGTTCTATTTTTGAAAAAATGTTGCTCATTATAAATATCAACTTTTGTTGCCATTATTTTTATTTTTACTGGACATTGGACTGGATTTATATTAGGAAATTGATAAGCAATAAAAAGTTAATTTTAAATGAAATTAAATTTAAAATATATGAATATAGTATAAACGAGATGTTTTCTTTCTATTGAGAAAAATCAATTGCTTGTAGTTTTTCGCGACAACCTCAAAGTCAGTATTTTATGAATATAAAAAAATCTTTTATTCATACAACTGTCCTGTTCAAAAGTGAACTTTTTAAAAACTAATCCAATCATATCCACTTTAAAAATGTGAATAGAAATCTCGGCTGATACTATATGTAAAATTAATAGAGTAACCAAAAGCCTACACGATATATACAAGAATATACATCCATTATTAAACATAGAAATAAGGTAATACAATTTGGGAATTGACTTGTAAAGATAATATTTAAATAGTAGCTTAAAAGGACACCTATCTTCACTTTCAAAACATGCTAATATCTTAACTTTCCTTTCTAGAGCTTTTCTTTAAAATAAAAACAAATGTGTGTAAACAAAATGATTTTCACTAATAATTAATATAATGTATGATATTGTATGGAATTGTATTAGGGCGTACATGTTATCAGTGTGGCCTTAGTGAACATCACAATGTCATTTCTATTTCCAATTAAGAGAAAATTTAATGAGAGTAGATGGTTAATTTTACTAACATAAGTAATAAATTTTAACTTAGCGGTTACTGTAAATATCTACTACTAATAAATGTGTTAACATTTTTTTTTTATTGCAACGCCTATGGAGTACTACTATTTTAACGATTGAATAAGTTAGAAGTCCAACGAGATTTAATAGTTGATGATTCTAAGGCGTCTCCGTGATTGGCTACGATTGGACATTCAAATCTCTAAAGATTTGATCGTTGTATATGTAGAGATCTTTTAATATAAATAGAAAATAATGATATACAATCAATTAATTTAATTCTTTATACTCGTGTACAACAGGAGTGGGGGCACTGCCTGTCCTTGTCACTCACGAGATTTTACTGGCTTACTACAGTGACGTCACAGTGTAGTATATATTCTTTCGGCCACCATGGCAACTGAGTTTCACAACCAGTTGTGAGAAGGGTACTTGTATTCTTGTTCGGCAACTAGTTGCGATAGATTTTTTTTCTTTATACATAAATCCTTTTTCACAGCTGGTTGTGAAACTCAGTTGCCATGGCGGTTGAAAGGGTGTAAATATATAATCGCTGATCGCGATTCACACTAATACAATAGTATTCTTCTTCTTTTTATATTATATCTAATATAAAAAGCATCTTGCTACTAGTTTTTATTGATCGTTAGCCAATTATGTCGTCCCCTTAAACTTGTTAAGAAATGTGGCATATTGTAATGGCATAATAGATTTTATAAATATCATTTTTAAGCGAATGTTCTGTGTTATAAAGTGAATCGGATAGGACTACTCCATGGACGATCGGCAACAAATTGACGAGGTGTTTTTTTACCTGCGTCAAGTTAGGCAATAGATTTATATGTTCGTTTTTAAGATTAGGTTTAAAGTTAACGAATATTAATGACGGTATTCAATTTAATATTGGATATTGAACCTTGTATATCAGTACAAAGAATTTATAACTAATCAGAATGTTTTTTATCATTGGGACGTTTTGGCTTCACATAAGAATATATTTTGATATGATCGGTGTTTATTTTAAGATATTAATTGTAGAATAGATATATCAGGTTTTGATTGCAAAAATGTATAGTGTGAGAAGTAAATGCTTTGAAAGTGTTCGTTTTTATCAAGCGGTCTGGACCAAATTGTCATCGTTAAATTTTCAATGTTTCAACATTTTCTTGTACAGTTTGAATACTTACCAAATGTTATAAATTATGTCACTCGCTTACTGTAAAAATAATCATGAACTAAAACCTTACTGGTTTACTTGCTATTTGATGGGATAAGCGACTTTTTATTGAATGTTGCTCAGTTTCTAACTCTGTGGGGTTCATAGTTACTTTTATAGATCTTATAATAGACCAAGTAAAATGCACACTTGAACAAGGAATCGCGAATTGTGTTTGTACTGATTATTGACGTAAATTGTTTTTTTTTATTTTTATTATATGACGTCACTGGGCGTTTGTCTAATTATGCATTTGAGGTGTATTATACAGCCCAAATATTTGTTAAATTTGTTTTCCATTCATTTACTTTGTTCTTTCATAAAACAGAGCTCGTGAGCCGTGCGCGTGTGTGTGAAACGTATATTAGAAAATGTTAAGTACCTACAGTTTAGGTGGTATTTTTAATATAGATTAATTTCCGAAGAGAAAAATAAGCTTAGATTATAAATTATTGTGTGTGTATTTTCTGTTTATAATGTGTACCAACATATTTGGGGCGAATGTTTGTGACAATGATCGTCTGGTACAATAGTTGTAAAACATATTTTAGCGTTTTATACAAAAGATATCAGTTCGAGAGTACTATTGTAACAGAAAGTCCACAAATTTATATGCAATTCAGAATTAAATATAATAATTTAAGAATAACTAGTTTTATTGTTTCCCCATATATTTATATTTATTATAAAATGTTCTAATAGTGGGTTTTTAACATTTCTTTTTTTCAAGTATTAAAGAAAAGACAATTGTCTTTTTCTGAAAATTCTATTGAATAAATTTTATTAATCAAAAACAGACTGCCTTAAGGTATTATACCTTGACACCTGCAATCCAGACGGTAGGTTTGACCAACCAATTGGTTTTATTTACATATTGTAATTGGGTTCAGAAAAATAATTACTTCACAATTCCTCTAAAATAAATTGATGCTTAATCGAGTATAAAAATCTATGAAATTCATTCAATTAAAGAAAATATTAATCATCGTCAATAGACTCCAATGGATATTCAGTCATAATTAAACCTCTTGACCACAATGCATCTGCTATCTGCAACTTATCAGACTCATTTGGGACATCTAAATTTTCTACACTGACATATTCTGGATAGGAAGTTATTAATGTTTCTATAGCAGGAGCTAATTCCTCTTCTATTTCAAGGAAGGGCAAGTCATTCCCATGATACTCTAAAGAGTTTTCAACATAATAGTACAGTCTAATTTTTTCTTCCGAGACCATTCTTAATATATTTTTACGCAACAATCGTATTTTTGTGTCGAGACCAATTTCAACTCTATTAGTTACTTTTCCATTTTCAATCATAACATCAGAGTCTCCAAATACTGTAACAGCCTTTTCTAAATCACTTAATACTGGAGGCAATGCATCATGTTGATAATTTTTATTCATCTGATCGACTGCATCATCTATTGGTAAATGGTTTTTTATTTTATCAAACAGAGATTTCATTAATTCTTCTATCTCTTTTCTTCGTGGAGTGATAACGTCTGAGTTAACAAGGCCAAAATTCTCGTAAATATCAAACGGCAAGCCACATCTTAATTCAACGTTTTCATTTATAGCCATTTGTAATGCAGCTGGAATCATTTTCTCAAAAAGGTCTGCCCAAGAATGTTTTTGATACATGCTGACTGTCACATGCAGGGAGTGTTCGCCATCTATAGTAATGCCTTGGTGAATGTAGCCACGAGGGAAGTAAAGCATATCCCCTGCTTCTAAAGTTACTTCTAAAATAGGTTCTCCAATTTCATTTTGATCAAAATTTTTTGATGACACTCGTGGTAATATCTCATTGTCACTTCTAGGCTTATATATTCGCCAATGTTTCTTACCTTCTGCTTGTAAAATGAAAGCTTCAATATCATCATAGTGTGGTGCGAACCCTTGACTATCTGGAGGGGTAAGATATGCATTAGCCCCAACAAAAGAATTAAAAAATTCTTGCAATGTAGTATTTAATAAATGCAGTTTAGGAATATAAGTCTGCGGATTCAATAGCCTGATGCTACACCCATTTAGATAGAAATCCCAGACTAAATGTGGATGAGCTCTACCTTCAGGATTATGCGTTTCCCTTTTCTGATCAACATAGGAAGTAATGTCAATATTTTTAGTAAACTGAATATTCTCATTACGCAACATGTCATCTATGATTGGAGTTGATATGATTTCTTTATAATAAGTAGATTTACTTCTAGCAATATGCAGTGGTTTTTTTTCCCAAATTGAATTAAGAAATTCATTCGGATTGTATGGTGCAATCATCCATTTAAATACTTTAAGACCCTCTTCAACACTATCTGTTTGAATAGGTGTAAATTCAAAGCTACTATTGCTAGAGTGAGAGGAAGTATCATCAGAATGAATATTTTCATAATAATTAGCATGCTTAGATGGGGGAATTTGAATTAAAGGAGATGCTGCATCACTTTCGGAAACTTCAGGGCTCCTCAGCATTTCTGATTTGGATTTTTTAGTAACTCTCAATTGTTTTACTTTGTTAGTTTTCTTCTTATGATTTTTCTTCTTAATTATATTCTTTAATCCTTTCGTTTTCTTTTGCTTACGTTTAATTTTTTGGGCGACTTCGATCATTATTCTGTCTGCGACATTATTCGATGAAGTCTTAGGAGAAGCAGCTGCGTTAATTTGCTTTTTCTTCTTTTTTTCACTATTTGTTTTCTTCTTTTTACGATACATAGCGAAAGCCGACACTGGTGAATCCATGTTCAAACTAGTTCTTATCTAAAATGACTAAATATTCCTTAATTGTCAAATGATTATTTAAAGTAAGTAATGTTTCCTCATAAACAATGTTTGATGAAGAAAAGCTAGAACAATTAATAAAATTTATTGAGAAATATAGCACAATATTTTTTAGGTTAGATCCATAGAATAGGGTTGCAACGATATATCCAGATCAACTCCCAAAAGAATCGATATAAATCTATATGAAAGAAACAGCGATATTGATATTGAAAAAAATACTTATATGTTGAAACTTAATTTTGATAATTCAAACAGTAAATCTATATCAGTCTTCTTCTTCTTATTTTTTAATTCATGACCTATTTCCGTTTACACAATTCCGCCTCTATATCAGTCGTAAAAAATGTAACATCCGACGGCTGCGACCCATCTGATTTTAGTGACACATGTCACATGATTTTTTTGCTTTGAAAAATGCAAAAGTTTTTTATTATTATAATTTGAACTTTCTTTCAAATATGTTCCTAATCTAATCGCAATCTATTTACTATAATAAGACATTTTCTCATTGTAAGAAGGAGCATTCCTTACGAGCTCTTTTTTTTAAAGCAGCAGGTATAACATGACAAACTCGAGGAATGCTTGCTTTATCTACACCAAAAGTCACTTTTCTTGAGTCGAGAGTAAGATATACTATCGCACCGGGGGAAAGTGACATTCGGGTGTAAACAAAAAACTCTCGAGTTAGTTATGCTACACTTATGTACAGGAGCCAACATTGCAAGAAGTAGGAACAGGTTTTACGGAACTTGACTATCCAAGCTAATGATGTGCCGATTCGATTATTATATACATCGATTGATCGTTCATAGTATTACTCGTAATCGATTAATAATCGATTAATGACAACGATTATTAAATATTTTTACCCCAAGTTTATTAATGATTTCAGATTAATTCCACTGTATTTCAAACGGCCAGTTGCACAAACATCCATTAAGATTTGATGACGCCTTTAAGCTCTAATGATTGTCAAATTTGTATGGGTAATGTCGCTTTAAACTAATGAAAATTTTAATGAACGTTTGCGCAACTGGCTGAATGCCATCCAAGTTAATGAAGAATAGTTAAAAATCAATTTTAAGACAATGTTTACTATACCAGGATTGTAAATGCAAAATTTATGGAATTTAACTAGCTGTATCCGCGATTTCGTCTGCGTGGAAAGTAGCCTTAATAATGAGGATATTTAAAAAAAAAACATTAGTTTCCGAAATCAAACTAGATGTCGCTACGGTACGTTATTGATTTCTCCATGACAACCCTTCCGGTTTTCTTTCATGTTTAAAAGTAAATTAGTTTTCAAAACTAAATAAACAACTCATATTCTATTTGTACTTTTTCGTTTTTGTGTTGATATCTAAGTTGCGAACTTTTCAAATTTCAGTTTTTAATATGTTAGTTATAAGGAACGGAAATCACTGTCTTTGGTCCATTCGTTTCCTGCAAAAATCGACTTTTGCTAGAGTCGCCATCTAGTGGAGGTGCTTTTTCGCATCATTATAGTCCTTTACACCCTCTACAAGTCCCTTCGATTCCAAAAATAATTTCGTAATATTTCTCCAATTTTTATAATTACTCTGATCTTTCAATTTGTCAATATTCTCCATGATCAATAAAACCAAACATTTAAATTTATTAGAAAAATTCTAATAAAATTAAATGTTACCGACTTTGTTTTTAATAAACATCCGTTGCTATGTTTATCATCCGTTGCTATGCTTATCCGGACTCTGGCATATCCATTCTTTTAGCACAATAAACACCGCATTTTGTATTTTATTTTATCTTCATCCCTGGCCTCTCTTTAAGGGCCCATAACCTGATACCCGATGGTAAAACGGGTATAGAGAAAGACCAGGGAGCTTTTAGATCACATGAGTTTATTTACCACCAAAATTATATATATGTACTTTATAAAAATATAAACAGCACCGACAACAGCTTTACAAAGAGAGACATTAATATATATAAACAATAGACGCGCATGTGCAGAACAGATTGTCAATATTTAAATTAAAATAAAAAAGATCTTAAACCAAGAAGGAGGTCTCTCTCAACAATGTGTTCCCCAGTTCGACTTGCCAAATTTAAAATTAAAGACAACCCCCTCTACGATTGTGGCATTGAGGAAGGAACTATGGATCATATTTTATTTAATTGTCCAAATTTATCCATTTCGGTTTATGATTTGCTACCATCAAAATTTCCACGTCCAACAAATATAAAATATATCTTGAGTATGGAGAAACCCAACCCATTCAAAATTTTATCCGAATTCCTTGCAATCAATAATAGTCTTAATTTATAAATATCTTTGTTTTCTATATACATTTTATTTGTATTATCTTTAACAATGTTCAAAAACAAAACACGCTCAGAGCTATATTTTTTTATTTTATTTAAATTCAAAATTTACATATTTTATTATTGTTTCTATACGTGTAAAGACCACAAACGTGACATTGGCGGTATTGTGTAAATGCAAATAGGCCATGAATTAAAAAAGAAAAAGAAGGTTTTTATTTTCAGTTGGTTATTTTTCTAAGAACAGTATTTTATTTAACCAATACTTAGTTTTCATTACATATGTTTACTAGTAAGAATATTGTGATATGTTTGACTGTGTTGTTTATTTACAACTGAGTTTGAAAAAGTCAACTGCAGCTGTACTAAAATGGAAATAGACGAAGAGATTAAATCCGGTTGTTTATTGTTTCCACCCGCGGGGGGAAACGTTTTCAGTAAATTCCCCAAAAAGGTAAGAGGCATTCTCCTTATAATAATATGTTATTCCGAAAATTAAGTTCATTTCGTGTCGTGTAATGAACTACGTCTACATTAAAGTATTAGTCGCTTGCTTAACTCTGAATGACTCAGTCTGCAGTTACGTTATTGCTTACTTGACAGTGTGTTAGCGAAAGCAGAAACATGACTGAAATAATGTAACAAATAAAAAGTTTTTGAATGTTTATACATTTTTTCTATGAATGGATAAATAAGTTTTTAATTTTGTGTGCAAAACACAAATGTAATGTATAAAAAGGGAACGTCAAGAAAATTGAGATTTTGAAAGACAATTAACACAAAAATGTTTTCTTTTATCAAATGATGTAATAATGGATGCTAAAATAAAACTATGTCAATGAAACTCTAGTTTCTGTTGTGTCCACGACTGGTGGAAGTTCATTTTATTATTAGTTTCTCTTTTATAATACCTATATTATATAGAAAAAAACTTGAATGTATTAATAACAAAATAATTCTAGTATATTTGTAAGTTATACTAGAATTACACATTTTTATTGTTTATTATTCAACCAAGAATATGCATGTTTACAGAAAAACTGGCAGCAGAAGTACTGCATCCTTTACAATGCAAGTAAACAAGGAATTGAAAGACTTGAGATTTTCGACCATAAGGATGATGCTACATCGGCTTCTTCCTCTATTCCTAAGATTATCACACTTGAGAATTGTATTAAAATTACACATTCTAGTCCCAATACTATAACAATACTTACTAAGTCACACACACAACAAATAAGTGGACAATCAGAAGCTGAAACTCTTGAATGGGTGAAGGCTCTTCAGTCTGTTGCATTCAAAGGCAGGGATTCCAATCCTATTAGTTGTGATGAAGACAATGACTTATATTGCTCTTCTGGAGAAGGGGTGTTTTCTGTTAAAATGTGTGCATCTGATGCTTCTGCAAAATGTGGATTTGAGTCTATAAGATACTTACTGGTATTGACAGCTACAGCGATAGAGCTAAGAGATGTCAATGATAACAAACTGTATGCCACATGGCCTTATAGATATATCAGAAGATATGGGTACAGACAGGGCAAGTTTACATTTGAAGCAGGAAGGAAATGTGATACAGGTGAAGGTATTTTTCACCTGGAACACCCAAACCAGTCTGAAATATTCAAATGTCTGTCTTTAAAAATGAAGACTATGAAGCAAATGATTGGTAATGACAATTTAAATAGTCCCGAACACAGTGAATTTAACATACAATCCAGTGCTAACATGTTCCCAGGCTCAAGAAGTCCCTTAGTGGCAGCAAGACCTGATGATTTGAATTTAAGTTCTCTTTCATTCAAAACAACATCAGTTTCAAGTCAACAAAGTTCTTGTTCAGATAGAGATACAGCTCCCTTACTGATGCCTAAGCCAACTCTCAAACCGAAACCACAAAAACCACCTCGTAAAATGATTAATGTCCACAAGGGACTCAATAAAGACTTGCCAAGTTCAACAGATGAGAGTATCGATTTTGGAAGGTACAAAAAGCTTGATAATTATGAGCCTATTGATCAAATCAGCAGGGAGGGTAGTCCACCATCAGTGCCATATGACAAAGTTGAAGTACGCTGTGAAGCTTGGAAGACTCTAGGAATAGATGATCCTGATCACACAGAATTCACCCCTAACTTAGGGGACAATCCTAAATGTATGAAACTAATATCTAGATCCCAAGATAATTTAAACATTACTGGTCCAGATTCATCTAGAATAATATTGCTTCCAAGTCCAGTAGTTGACCCAGAAGATGAAAATTATGATAGACTACAGTACTTTGGGTCTACAAGTAAATTGAATAAGTCATCACGTTATAAAAAAATTGAAGCTCGACCTACAACTTTAGCTTTGAGTGAACAGAAGACAAAGGATACTTGGAATGATTATGATGAAGTAGAAAATGTGATGCAAACAGCCAGATTGGCTGACGACTCCCATTTGGGTTATGGAATGATAAGAAAACCAAACACTCCAGGACCACAGGTTCCAACAGCAGCTCAAGCTCAAGTTTTGCAGAATCAAGTTGGTTTGGAAGAAGTTAATCACAACAGTTGTAATGGAACTGATTATGCTATAGTTAGCCGTCCAAAAAGAGTGTAATATTTGGTTTGAAGAAACAAAATTAAGACTGAATGAAAGTTACAAGCTCCAATATGTTTAAACTCGGTGGAATGTAAGGTAATTTTTAAAGTCAATGAATTTTAAATAGAATTTAAAACTGCAACCCTGATTCCGTAAATTGGTAGCTCTTACAAAGGAATTAACTTTGGCTTAGTTGTTTATATACACCAACTGGGCAAGAATGTAATTTAATTTAGTCCGTAATGAAAATATAATATTCAAGACCATTTAGTTTTATATAAGACTGCAATTCATTTCCATTTTACTTATTAGGTGATTATAAGGGTTCTAGATGTATATTGACGCACAAGTATTTTATTCTTAAGTAATAATCTTAGTGTGATCATATTGTGCCTTATTCATTTTTAGATGGTTTCAAAGTTTACCATGCACCCTGTGCCAATTTATGAAATCTTAGTAGAGCTATGGTGCTCAGTAAGATAAAGTATATATAAGAATTTACTGGAAGATTGCTTTATGATTAAAACATAGTTTTTAGCATCAGATTTTTAAAAATATACTGTTGTACTTGCTCATTAGAATATTGGAAAATTTGCAATAGTTACAAGCCATAGTTAATTATTTTTATAAATATGTATTCATTCATATTAAAGTATTTTAGTTGTTATAATATTGCCATATTTTTTAATTGCATTTTTACTTACCTACATAATCTCAAATTTTTATGTGTCAATAAATTATGTAATCTCTTTTTGTTGTTTTATTTTATTAAGTTGAAATCAAAAACCAACTTTTTTCTATCCATTATAATGAAATAAAAGCTTAAAAAAAATGTGGTATCACAACACCATATCCCTTTGGGAAATTACACAATCAAGTATTTGTACCACTCATTCCATAATGCATAAAATCATAAATCTTTTATCAATTAATTTACTTTACATGGTATTTAGTTAATATGAATTATACATGCTTATATTATACACAATATTTAAAAGAAAGGGGTGTAAAAAAATCATGAAATGTTAATTTATAGATTATGGGCCCCTAACTGAATAATAATAAATTACACAATATAGTTATTTCTAACATACATTTTAATATACATATATTACTACATAGTAATAGTAACTGGCTAGCCTATCTGCATTAGAAATACTTGACCATTATTACCATACTTCATTGATTTATTAACCAGTTTTAAAATTTAAAGCCTATCCAGTAATAAAAAGTTAAAACAATCATCAGCCTATTACAGCCACACTGCTGGGAACACAGACTTTCCCTATAGTCTTGCATATAGATAAAAAAGTTTAATATAATAACTTTTTATTCTACAATATCACAAAAATTAGACTAACATAATATGCATAACAAGTGATTTTACAATATATAATTAATTAACGTATGCCAAAAATGCTATGTTTTATCATAAATAATAATACATGCTGTTAATAATCATCAATACAATAGTACACTATTGTATGGATGATGTAATATAATATAATAAATTGTTCAAACTAAAACCATTACAGTTATAGATATATAAAGCCATTAGTCTTTTAATAAATTACTGCTCTCCATCTCTTCATTAGTATTTTTAGCCATTTCATATGCTATAAATTCCAGATCTTGAGACATAATTTTTTGAACAGATTCACCCTTTTCTGCCATGATGTCCTCAATGTTTTTCTTTCCATTCATATCACTGAACCAGTTGAGGTTGTCAGCGATCAGATGTTTGTTATCACATCCATCACAAATTACAATTACTACACCTTTGTAATAAGCTAATTTTGTAATAAATTTAGAATTCCTTGTATCACACTTTTTACAAGTAAACATTAACTGGAATTTTCCTTCTAACTTCTCTAGGTGTGTTGGTGGCACTTCATTGAATTTACTTGAAGTTGTTCCGAAGTTTCTTGGCGATTGGATTATTGGTGTCGAAGAAGACAAGGGTGCAGGAGGCATTCGTTTTAGCAATCGCCTTCCAAAGTATGAATTCCCATTACTAGGGAAACAAACGAGGTTATTTATCAGACGAGGACTATGATACTTTACTACGAAATCAATAAGATTTTTGTGCGACATATTTTATGCTTATAATTTAGTAGCTTTATTATATATTTTAGTAGCAATAACTTGTGACAATAACTATTGCATCACAATTTACAGACTTAAGTAAAACCAGTAAAACACTGAGCGAGTACCTATGAAATTAAAACCTAAAACATACAAAGAGTAAAAGATAATATTTTTTAATTTATTTATCTCCTATGGGCTCCTATTTGCGTTTACACAATCTCGTCGATGTCACGCTAGTAGCCTTTACACGTAAAAAAAGAGAAGACAATAATACTGAATAATACAAGAAAAAAATTAAATCATTAAAATCATCGTTAACCCTGTGAAACCAAGAAACCAAGTCGCTTTTATGAAAAAATAAATAATAGACTTATTACATTAGGTACCTAATAAGGAAGTATTTAAAAAAAATAAAATACAAAAATTTATGTCACTAGATGGCAGCACAAATTGTTGGATCTAAACGTCAAGTCATGACGTTAAACCAAAGAGAATAGAATTATCAGTGTTGCATGGACCTGATAACTCGGTTTAATATCGAGTTGAAAGAACAATGGCCAACTGCCTAACATGCTTGGACTAGTAAAATCTAATAAAACGTAACTTGATGAAACAATGTTATTTTGTTTGCCTATGTAACTAGAACAAAGAAAGACATTAAATATATTTTTAAAAGCTGGGAGTATCGAGTAATTCTGTAATATGTTTTTGAGGTTATGTCGTATTATTTAAACTGTAGCATTTTGAGTTAGAGGTATTATAGTTGAAATATGTAAAGCACACGTCAGATAAAGTCTAATCCTAGTCCTAGAAGTGCATACTTTCACATAATACTTCAAACTTGCTCCATATCTGATAAATTATTTTTATTGACTGTAAGAAATAAAATCATTTTTTGTGAACCAATGAACATCAAAAAAAATACTAGAATTTTTAAGATTACTCTCAATAACTCTACTTTTCTATCTTACACTATAACTTATATAAAGTAGTAGTGAAAATACTAATTTCAAAAGGATATAGCAAAACAACATGTTGATTTTTCTTTTCTTTATTACAACTCTAATAAATACCTCATCACGGAATGCTGCAGGAGCAGCTACATTCTGTTCATGTCTGGCCCATCCAAAATACCAAACTATGGTCATTATATGAGCACAGCATCTCAGTGTAGATCGACCAATAAGACAATTACAGCAGTGTTCTCTTATGCCATCTAACCCGGATGTGTCATTATTCTTTAAAATGTACACATAATATTGTTTCCTCCCAATGTCTCGACTTAATTCTACTCCTTATAATTAGGACTTTATTTATATTTAAGTCTAATTCTAATAAATCCAGAAAATCCAGTATATCTCTCCAGACCTCAATTCTATACTGCCCATGGAACCTAGTATGCTCCCCATAATACAGAAGATAATACAAAATCACCGCCAAAGTTACAAAACGGTCTGCGTAGAAACACGTTTACACATATTTGTCTAAAAAAGGGAGGCCGCAATCGATTGAATACTGTAATATCGATTCTTATGAATAATCATTTGTTTTTAATTTCATTATAAATAAACTATTTTCCTCTAAGTAACATCTAATTATATTAGTAATCTAATCTAAGTTTTATAATTTTCACGTATTTATATGGTTAGTAAATAATATAAGATTTGTAACAAATTCGATTAGTCAGAAATAAAATCGATCTTTTTTTTTTTTTTTTTTTTTTTTTTTTTTTTTTTTTTTTGGCGTCACACGGTTTGTGTATTTGCCAGTGTCAAAGGTAGGGAAACGATGGTAGGAAAAAGGATAGGATTTGCGACAGGTTTTTAGCAATAGGGTCAGGAAACGAAAATATTAATATATATAGAATATATACGTTATATAACATACATAAAAAGTAATAACGATATTTAGACTTTAATATTATTTGATATTATAAAAGACGCTATGCATTGATATACTGATATGTTATTAGACGAGAGCAAAGAAACTATGGATGTGGGAAAGGAAACACGTAAGGATATGAGATCTTTAAGGAATTCGGATCGATCGTATAGTGTACAAGAAAACAATATATGGTTAAGATCACAGTAGTCTGACCCACACCTACAGGAAGCATCACTAACAATTCCCAGCTTAGTAAGATGTGCTGGTGTACTAACATGACCAATTCTCGAGCGTATTAAAATACTAGTAGCAGTCTTACTGATCTTAATTTTACGGAACCACGGTTTCATCATAGTTTTAGGTTGTATTTGATAATAATGTTTTCCCTTTACTTGTCCACTATTTGTCCAATAAGTTTGCCACTCCTTATGCAAATGACACAACGGCAGCAACAGCAAGTCATGGGTATAATTTTTAAAAGGAAACATGTCTCCACAATGTACTGCCTCTTTTGCTAATTGATCAGACTTCTCATTACCTTGAATTCCCACGTGACTTGGAAGCCACACAAATTCTACCAGATACCCTTTTTTAACACATTTATAAAGATTATTTCTTATATCAAACACAAGTGGGTTATATAATCTTGTACGGAATGGAAAATTATCAATAGCTTGTAAAGCACTCCTTGAATCAGAAAATATTATTGATTTATTTAGTTTCATGAGAACGACATACTCGACAGCTTTTAGTAAGCCAAGGCATTCCCCCGTAAATACAGATGTCTCCGGAGGAAGTTTACTTTTCTGCACAATGGAAAACTGAGAGTGGTAGACTCCTATGCCCGTACATTCAGAAGAGGAAGACTTAGAAGCATCACTGTATATATGATGGTAATTTTCGTATTCGGAATCTATAATTGATTTAAAGGTTTTAGCGTTATGTTTATCTATCAGATCGTACCTTACAGATGGTGAAATTAGCAAGGCGTCATAATCTATATTAAACACTGGAAGACGGTTTGACCGATGTATAGGTGAATGGAGGCTCAAGTATTTTTGATAGCTTACTATTAAACAAGGCAGTTGTTTATGAGACCAATAGCTAGCTGTAGTTATTTCATTGTTCAGAGAGTTAAGTAGGTGGAAAAGAGGATGGTCGGAGAATTGAAGAGATCGGAACAAAAATCGATCTGCAAGAAATTGTCGTCTAATACTGAGTGGGGGTTCACAAGTTTCGATTTGTAAAGCATTGATTGGGCTTGAGCTCATAGCACCAGTTATAATTCTAAGTGCTTTTGATTGAATACCGTCTAATTTTTTTAACGAAATTAAGCTGGCAGGTTCTAAAAGGAAAGTACCATAATCCAATACACTTCGAATTAGCGCGTTATAAACCAACTTGAGCGATTGAGGGTGAGCCCCCCACCAGACACCGGAGAGACATCGAAGAAGATTCAATAGTCGTTCAGTTTTCTTGATAATGTAATCTATATGGGAGCGACCGGAGAGCTTGGAATCTAATATCACACCTAAAAACTTAGCTTGTGATTCAACTGGTATAGGCAAGTTATTATAATGAACTCTAATTAAAGGGGGATTCCTCATTCTTGAAAAAACTACGATTGTACTTTTGGATGCAGATAAATCTAAGCCATTGGTAAGCATCCAGGAGTGTAATGAAATCAAGGCCAACTCAATATGTGACGCAGCTATCTCAACTGATCGGTTTGTTGAATATAATAACAAATCATCCGCATATTGTAAAAGCTTTATATGATTATCGAAGCAAGAATCCAAATCATGTGTATAGATATTGTATAGCAAAGGGCTAAGGACTGACCCTTGGGGTAACCCTTTCCATACAGTCCTTTTTATTTCTGAATAACTAGATAAACTAACAATCAAATTACGTTCTTCTAATATGTTCATAATAAAATTAGTTAACATTGACGGGATGTTTAGCGATTCTAATTTATTTTTTAATACTGACACTAACACATTATCATAAGCAGAATTGATGTCCAAAAAAGCAGCCACTATAGATTCGTTGTTTGTAAAACCTATACGTATGTCAGTTGTGAAAATACTTATATTATCCATTGTACTTTTCCCTTTTCTAAATCCATATTGCGTTCTCGATAGTATACCTTGACTTTCTACAAACCATTCCAAACGGTTTTTAATTAAAATTTCAGCTAATTTTATTAGCACAGAAGATAAAACTATCGGTCGATATGAGCTGGCCTCAGATGGTGGTTTATTTGGTTTGAGGATGGGCAACACTACTTGTGACTTCCATGACAGAGGTATGTTTCCTGTTAACATGATAGTGTTGATAAGTTGTAGATAATAAAAGAGGATATTGTCACTTACATTAGCAAAGAATGAATATGGGATTCCATCTTCCCCCGGAGCAGAATCTTTAACATGATATATTGCACTTTTCAGTTCACGAAGAGAAAAGAGGCTATTTAAACCAGATTGATTATAAGACGACTGCGAAGGTTGTGCAGTGTTGAGTATGGGAACCCATGAAGGGGCCAATTTGTCCATGAAATCAATAGTTATTTCGGTGGGAATAGTAATTCCAGAAGATATATTATATGAAGATTTAAATCTTTTTATGTTTTGCCAAACAAGAGTAGGATGTGTGTTAGGAGAAATAGAACTACAGAAACTTTTCCAACTGTCAAATTTTTTCTTTTTAAATAATCTTTTTGTTTCAGCAATCGTTTTAGACAAGTATTCATAGTTAGCTTCAGACATATTATTATTGTAAATTCTTTCAGCCTCTTTTCTCTTCTTAACCGCTTCAGTGCAATCTTTATCCCACCAAGGAGGGGATGGTATTTTTGTGCAATTATTTTCTTTGACAGGAAACACCTCTCTGGCAGCTTCATTTAAAATATTTGATAATGCTTCAGCGCAAATGTTTTCATTTCCATGTATTATAACAGGGAGGTGCTTAAGCTTGCATTCTACATTAGATTTATAAGTAATCCAATCTTTAGAACTTTTATCAGGTAATTTATATCTTCTAGTAGACTTTTTCTGGGAAATGCTAGGTTTATTAAACGGAAATGTAATAATAATAGGGAAATGATCACTTCCTAATGTAGAAGATAAAGTATGCCAAGATAAAGAAGAAGCCAAATTTGGTGTGCATATTGATAAATCTACTGCACTCTTATTAAGTCTAGGATCAGTGAGTCTTGTAGGTGATCCTGTGTTCAAGTAACATAAATTATGTGACTCAATAATATCTAATAAATTTACTCCATAACTATTAATAATAGAACTTCCCCATGCTCTATGGTGACAATTAAAATCTCCTAAAACTAAGAAGGGTCTAGGAAGGGTAGAGAATAAATTATTTATTTCACCAAAAATTGGTGCAGATGGATGACTGATATAAATTGATACTATGTTAATATTATATACTTTCACTGCTACAATTGAAATATCTTTATGATTTATAGATATGCTAATGGGATCATAATTAACACCATTTTTTATGAGAATGGCTACACCACCAAACCCATCACTTCTATCGTCTCTTAAAGAAGTATAACCCTTAATTTGAAAG